GTATTCATCAAGGATATTGGCCTGTAGTTCTCTTTTGTTGCTGGATCTCTGTCTGGCTTGGGAATCAGAGTGACGCTGGCTTCATAAAATGAGTCCGGGAGTTTTCCTTCGATTTCTATTTTTTGGAATAGCTTGAGAAGAATTGGGATTAGTTCTGTTTTAAATGTCTGGTAGAATTCCTCAGGGAAGCCTTCAGGTCCAGGGCTCTTATTTGTTGGGAGATTTTTGATCAGTGATTCGATTTCTTCACTAGTTATGGGTCTGTTCAGATTTCCCATCTCTTCCCGTGTGAATTTTGGTAGTGAGTGTGTGTTTAGGAATTTGTCCATTTCTTCTAAGTTGTGCAATTCGTTGGCATATAACTTTTCATAGTATTCCCTGATAATTGGTTGTATTTCTGAGGGGTTGGTTGTAATCAGTCCATTTTCATTCATGATTTTGTCCATTTGGGTGCTCTCTCTTTTCTTTTTGAGAAGCCTGGCTAGAGGTTTGTCAATTTTGTTTATTTTTTCAAAAAACCAAGTCTTGGTTTCATTGATCTGTTCAATTGTTTCTTTGGTCTCTATGTTGTTTATTTCTGCTTGATTTTTACTATTTCTCTTCTTCTACTGGGCTTAGGGCGTTCTTGTTGTTCTGCCTCTAGTTCCCTTAGGTGAGCTGTTAGATTTGGGACTTGCACTTTATCTAATTTCTTGACATAGGCCTGGAGTGCAATGTACTTTCCTCTTAGGACTGCCTTTGCTGCATCCCATAGAATTTGGATTGTTGTGTTTTCATTTTCATTTGTTTCCATATATTTTTAAATTTCATCCCTAATTGCCAGATTGGCCCATTCATTCTTGAGTAGGGTGTTCTTTAACCTCCATGTTTTTGGAAGTTTTCCAGACTTCTTCCTGTGATTGATTTCAAGTTTCAAAGCATTATGATCTGACAGAGTGCAATGTATGATCTCAATTCTTTTCTATTTATTGAGGGCTGCGCTATCTCCCAGTATGTGATCTGTCTTGGAGAATGTGCCATGCGCACTGGAGAAGAAAGTAAATTCCCTGGCCTCAGGATGTAGAGTTCTAAATATATCTGTCAGATCCATCTGGTCCAATGTGTCTTTCAAGTCCAATATTTCTTTAGTGATTTTCTGTCTGGTTGACCTATCCATTGCTGTTAGCGGAGTATTAAAGTCTCCTGCTATTAGCACATTCTTATCTATAAGCTTGCTTCTGTTTGTGACTAATTGTTTTAAATATTTAGGTGCCCCCATATTCGGTGCATAGACATTTATGATTGTTAGTTCTTCCTGATGGATAGACCCTGTAATTATTATGTAATGCCCTTCTTCATCTCTTGTTATTGTCTTTAATTTAAAGTCCAGTTTGTCTGATAGAAGTATAGCTACTCTGGCTTTCTTTTGATTTCCAGTAGCATGATCTATATTTCTCCATCCCCTTACTTTTTTTAAATATTTTTATTTATTTCTAGGAGAGAGAGAGAGAGACAGCTCGAGCAGGGGAGGGTCAGAGAGAGAGGGAGTCACAGACTGAAACAGGCTCCAGGCTCCGAGCTGGCAGTCAGCACAGAGCCCAACGCGGGGCTCAAACCCACAAACCGCGAGATCACGACCTGAGCGAAAGTCGGACGCTCAACCGACTAAGCCACCCAGGCACCCCACCATCCCCTTACTTTTAATCTGAAGGTGTCTTCCAGTCTAAAATGAGTTTCTTGTAGACAGCATAATGATGGATTTTGTTTTTTGATCCATTCTGCTACCCTATGTCTTTTGATTGGAGCATTCAGCCCATTTACATTCAGTGTTATTATTGAAATATGTGGGTTTAGAGTCTTTGTGTCTTTTGTAGGGTTCATGGTTGTGGTGGTGTCTCTGGCATCTTTGTTCCTTGTAACCTTTCCTTCAGAGCGTCCCGCTCAGATTTCTTGTATGGCTGGCTTAGTGGTGACAAATCCTTTCAATTTCTGTTTATTTGGAAAGATTTTTATCTGTCCTTCTATTTTGAATGACAGGCTTGCTGGATAGAGGGTTCTTGGCTGCATATTTTTTCTGTTCATCACATTGAAGATCTCCTGCCATTCCTTTCTGGCCTGCCAAGTTTCAGTAGATAGGTCTGTCACCACTCAGATAGGTTTCCCTTTGCATGTTATGGCCCTTTTCTCCCTAGCTGCTTTCAAAATTCTCTGTTTGTCCTTGTATTTTGCCATTTTCACTATGATATGCCATGCAGAAGATCGATTCAAATTACGTCTGAAAGGAGTCCTCTGAGCCTCTTGTATTTCAACGTTTACTTCCTTCCCCAGGTTGGGGAAGTTCTCTGCTATAATTTATTCCAGGACTCCTTCAGCACCTTTCCCTCTCTGGGATTCCTATGATATGGATACTGTTGAGTTTGACTGTATCGCTGAGCTCTCGAACTCTTCTTTCATGTTCCTAGATCAGTTTGTCTCTTTTTTCTCAGTTTCCTTTTCTTTTTAAGTTTAAGTTATTTATTTATTTATTTATTTACAAATAGTTTATTGTCAAGTTGGTTTCCATATAACACCCAGTTTCCTCTATTTCTATAATGGTGTCTTCTAAATCACTTATTCTCCTTTCTGCCTCTTCAATTCATGCATTGGACACCTCTAATTTATTACATATCTCATTTATCGCATTTTTTAATTCATCATGCCTATTTTTATCCTCCTTGTTGTCTGTAGCCATAGTTTCTTTGATGTCCCCTATGCTTTTTTTCAAGCCCAGCTATTAATTTTGTGATTATTATTCTTAAATCTTGTTCAGTTATGCTGCTTATATCTGTTTTGAGCAGTTCATTAGATGTCAATTCTTCTTGGAATTTCTTTGGAGGAGAGCTCTTTCGTTAAGTCATTTTAGTTAGCTTTCTGGCTCTTGTTAGTTTTAAAGAATTGTTATGCTCTCTGCACCTGTGAGCACTGCTGTATCCAAGGAGACTCTTTGACTGTCCAGGGCCTATCCTTTCAGAGAGTGTTTTTTGAATGGTATCTCTTGGTTTCTCTTCTTGAGATCTTGGTTATTTTATTTTCCTACACGTAGTGATATTTGGGACTCTCCACAATGTGTACTTTGGCTTGTTTCTTGAGGTAGCCCTGGAGAAGAAAACAGACAGACAAACACACAGGGAGCAGGGGCACACAAACGCACAGACAAATCCAACTAACATGCAAACCGAGAGGGAAAATGAAAAAGTTAAGAGAAGAGACGGAGGAGGGAAGGCGAATAATAGAAAATTAAAAAACATAAAAAGGTCAAAAAGAAGAAAAGGAAAAAGAAGAAAGCCAATGGACAAAGAACGGTTTAAAGCATATAACTGGATTTCCCAGCTACAATTAAATAGCCGGGTGTATGCAGTGCTGGTTGAAGAGCATAGAGAAGGAGAGAGAAGACAGGGCGGGGATGAGGCAAAATTGGAAATAGAATGAACAAGCAGAAAGGATAAAAAAATTTTTACAAAGAGCTAAAGAGAAGAATATGGTTGGATAGGTAAGAGAAGAAAGCTGGTGTTATCCAGAGAAACTATATAGTCTAATTACTCCTGAGAGAAAGAGATGAAAAGGTCAATAGGTGTAGAATTTACATCTACAGAATGGACTAGATGTGACTGTTTAAGCAAGCCGGTGACCAGAGTTAATCAGGTCAGTGTTCCGGGGAAAAAGAGAAAAAGAAAAATAAAAAAAAGGAAGGCAGCTCGCTAGCAGGGACGGGCGTGGTGTGATCCAATGTGTCAGGCAAGAGATCTGCCTTGGCGGTTGGGGGGAGGAGTGGCGGTGCTCCAGTCTCTTCTTGAACCAAGCACTGCACCTCACTTTTTTGGGTGTGTAAACTCCCTGTGCCAGGGGCGCAGCCAAAGTGGGTCACACTCTTTAACCCAGGTCGGGCCTAGTTTCCAAATCCCAGTCTGCGCGCCCCACTGAAATTGCTGTAGACACAACCTCGCAGGTGATGCCCTCAGGGCAAATCCAAGCGTCTTGCCTGGCCCTGGGGATGGAGCCAGAATCGCTGCTCCCTTCTCCTCCAGGTCGGGTTGGGGAGCAAAGACGGGGGTTTGCCTGGCGGGGGGGGCGGTGCGCAGGCCCCCTGGAGAGAGGGAAACCAGGTCCCTCTGTGTCTCGTCACCCGAAACACGAACTTGCAGGCAAATCTCCCAGTTTTAAAGCCTTCACCTTCCCTTTAGAGTTCCAGCTAGCCAGGAGCGTGGAGGTATGCGTGCGGTTCCTCCAGGGATCCAGCTGAGCCAGGAGTACAAAGGAGCGGTCGCGCGGGCGTGGCCCCTCCAGGATGAGGTGGCGCTCGGGGACCTGGCACGCAGGGATTTGGAGCGCACGGTCCTTCTGTGCCCCGAGCAGAGGTTTTTCTGTTTCCCAGCGACAGGGACTGTGTCTTGAGCGGTTTCAGACTCTCTCTTTTTCCCCCTCTCACTCCCCGCAAAGGGGGATCGCCCCCGTCCCTCGAGTCTCCGATCCCGGCCTGATTTTATCTTCCCCAGTTCGCACCCACGTTAGAAAGCTTTCTCGGTGGATTCTGTGTCCTTTTTCTCCCAATCTCTTGGGTTCTGTAAGGTTTCCTATGGCTTCAGACCTTTTCCATGTGAGACATGGGGGCGAGTGCAATGCACAGAGCTCCCTACTTCTCCGCCATCTTGCCCATCCCCCCTACTTCTGTGAATCTTATAAGCTAAGAACAACTCTTACATTTTGGAAGGAAAAAATCAAAAGGCTATCTTCAAGCCTATGAAAATCATGTGAAACTCAGACATCAGTATTCATAAACAAAGTGTTCTCTGCACACAGCATTCTCGTTTGCTCATATGTTATCTTGACAACATTTGCCCCACAAGGGCAGAGGTAAAGAGGTGTGGCCTGAAAAGCAGGAAATAATTTCTGTATGGTCCTTTGCATTAGCAAAAATATTAATAATAAGAGTTTGCTAATCCTGGCCAAAAGGATTTTTGAGTTCATGATTTTCAGCATTCTCTTTTGATGTCATTGATCACCAGTATCCTTAACAATAAATATGACATGGGCTCAAGCCAACAGTAAACCAGAGCTGTTTTGAAAAGCAAAGGTACAACCATTGGTACCTCAGCCAGTTGCCTTCTGGGTATCTCTGCGACAATTCTAGACTCCCATCTTCATTTATGTAGTGTTGAGCTCTCCTTTCATGACTCTACCTTGTCCCTATATTCCCTCCCAGGACAGTGTAGCTTTAACTACCTTATCAGAAACCAGGGAATTAATCTATGGAAGCTTTCTGATGCTCTCAGGAAGGAGTAATACTGTACACCTGCCCATTTCTCTCACTGTGTGAACTTGACTGGTGGCACCTAGGACAAATCCACCATGATGACTGCTCTGTGACCTGCAGCCTTCTTGAGCCCAGCCCCTCCATGTCCACAGTCTTTCCTTTTGTTTAAGCACACCCTTAAGTACACTCTTGGTGCATAATGTCCTTGATCTGCTCTGGAGATAGGACTATGGCACACACACATTCTCCTTCTCTTCCCCACATGTATTCCCAGCCTCTAGGGCTATGAAAGCAGGTTCCAAAGATCTTCTTCTTGCGGCTGCCCTCAACACACTTCTTAATAAGCCATTTCTTGTCAGCCAGACTTCTCAGCCTTTTTCTTCAGTCTTATGGCTCCTTCTGCCTTGGGAGGTTATTCTTCATACACCTTCCTGACACGGAACACACAGTGTATGTTCTGAACTGCATAGGAAGCCGCTTGCCACAGAGAGATGTAAGCCTGAGATCATGGCTTGGCACACTTTAATTTTATCTCCAGTATCCCCTTAATATCCTGTTAATGTAATCTGGGCTTAAATATTGAAACCCAATTGTCAAACATGACCCTTCTTAAAGTCCTACTCTCTTCCCTGGGCAGAAGTTTCAATACTAACGTAATAACGAGCCTACAATACCCCCCCTTTTTTTCAGGAATCACCAGAACTCCAGAAACAAAATGTGCAAACATGGAAGAGACCCGACAGCATTCAGGAGGAGAGGAGCCAGGTTGGTCTTCGAACACTCGGTGTCGGAGCAAGCTGAGTGACCTGTCCTCTCCCCCCCACCCACCCACCCACCCTTATGGGGCCCCCATCTCTCTCCAGCCTCATTTTCCTCCACTATTTATAACCCCCAGTCTCTCTCAGAAAATGCCTTCTTCCCTTCCTTAAGAACAAAGCAGAGAAATGAACATTGGAAAGAACTGGAATTCCTTCAGTTCACAGGAAAGGAATGTATTGCCTAGAGTTTCTCCTTAATTTTTTTCAGTTTGAGATGCTCAGACCTTAGTAATATCAAACTCCCAGATGAGAAAACTAAGACCTGGCAGAGGTAGGTGAGTTGCCTCAACCGGTGCTGTGGTCACTTTAACATCAGTCAATTTCTTAAGTTGGCCTGGTAGTGGTTTTTTTAATGGCTTTAGTGAAGTAGAATTTATGTATCATAAATGTTATGTATCCTACATTTTGAATATACTACTAATGATTTTCTGTAAATATACAGATTTTTGGAACCATGGCCACTATCCAATTTTACAACACGTACATCATCCCAAAAAGTCCCCTCATAGCCACATGTAGTCTGTGTCCCCCAATTCCAAGTAACTATTACTTTTTGTCTCTCTAGATTTGCCTCTTCTGAACACATGTGGTCTTTGTGTCTGTCTTTTGCCACTTAGCATGCTTTTAAGGTTCATCCATACTGTTGTTGCACATATCACGAATTCATCCCTTTTCATCACAGAATAATATTCCATTGTCACACTCGGATTGCCTATTCATGGATGGACGGATGTGTGAATTTTTTTCTACTTTCTGACTGCCTTGCATAGCTGCCAAGAACCTTCATGTGCTGGTCTTGACGTCCACAGATCTTAATTTTATCTTGGGCAGATACTTGGGAATTGTCTGGCATTCCACCCAGGCATGACACTACTGGTTTGCTCCGATACTCGAGCAGCTATAATGGGCTGGGCTGTATGGTGAAGGTCTAGCCCCTGGTACCCTGGTGTGCGTTCTCGTCCAGTGGGGAAAGATAGACTGGTAGTTTCCATAGATCACACTGAGTTCTGAATGAGCAAACAGGACAAACATTTCTTGTTCTGGGTCTCTCCTCTGGGAGTTTGATATTACTAAAGAAGCTTGTCACTTGGAGGAATGTCACTGCTCTGTTCATCTCTATAAGCCCAGCTATTGTACCTCCCAGCACACGATATGGACAAATAACTTAGATTCCGAACTCTTTGGAACCTGCTCTAACCCCATATCTCTGAAACTGGTTCACCAGTTTTTTGTTTTTTTTTTTTTTAAATGTTTTATTTATTTCTAGGAGAGAGAGAGAGAGACAGCGTGAGCAGGGGAGGGTCAGAGAGAGGGAGTCACAGACTGAAACAGGCTCCAGGCTCTGAGCTGGCAGTTAGCACAGAGCCCGACGCGGGGCTCGAACCCACGAACCGCGAGATCATGACCTAAGCGAAAGTCGGACGCTTAACCGACTAAGCCACCCAGGCGCCCCTGGTTCACCAGTTTTTATGTCAAGCTCAATTTAACTTTTATTTTGCAGTCCTGGCACAAGTTCAGGGAGAAGATCCCACAATCCCAGAAGAAGCAAGGGAAGGTTTGCAAGGAAAAGAGCCAGGTCTGTATCCTGTCTTCCTGGATGCCACCTGTACCAGGTGGTTCTATTTGTAAACTTCTCTAGTTTTCCTTTCCTACTTAACACAAAGGGTCTTTTTCCCCCTGATAACCAGCTATGTCCTTCCTATCCCCTCCCTCCTATCGCTGAAGGTAAACAAGATAAGCACAAAAGCATGTCAGAAGAGGAGGCCTGGCGGAGCTGGAAGAACTTTTGGCCTGGAGCCGGTGAAAACCTCCAAACCATCACCCAGAGATACGAGACACTGGTCCCAACCTGTAATCCTAAAGCGCCTGCAGGGCCCTTTGCACAGACGGTGGTGCTGCACGGCCCCGCGGGCGTCGGGAAGACCACGATGGCCAAGAAGTGCATGCTGGACTGGGCGCAGCGCAGCCCGGCACAGGCCTGCCCCGCCGCCTTCTATCTCAGCTGCAAGGCGGTGGGCCGCAAGGGGCCCTGCACGCCGGCAGAGCTGCTGTCCGAGAGCGCCCCCGACCTGCATGACGCCCTTCCGGGGGCCCTCGCCGAGGCGCAGAACGTCCTGCTGGTCATCGACGCCTTCGAGGAGCTGCGCGCGCCCGCGGCGGTGCTGGCGCACGACCCGGGCGGCGACTGGGGCAGGCCGAGGCCGGCGCCCGCCGTCCTGGGGGCCTTGCTGAAGAGGAAGCTGCTCCCCACGGCCACGCTGCTGGTCACCACGCGGCCCGAGGCCCTGAGGGAGCTGCGGCTGGTGCTGGAGCAGCCGCTCCTGGTGGAGGTGGAGGGGCTCTCGGCGCCGGACCGGAGGGCGTATTTCCGGCGGCACCTGGGCGGGGAGGCGCAGGCGCGGCGCGCGCTCCGGCTGCTGCGCGGCCACGCGGCGCTGTGCGGCCCGGGCGCGGCGCCCGCCGTGTGCGGCGTGCTGTGCGCCTGTCTGAAGCTGCCGGGGGCCGCGGGCGCCGACCCCGGCCGCGCCTGCCGCACCGCCACGTCGCTGCTGCTGCGCTTCCTCTGCAGCCGGTTCGCGCCCGCGCCGGGCGGCACCCCGCGCCCCCGCGCCCCGCTGCGCGCGCTGTGCCTCCTGGCGGCCGAGGGCGTGTGGGCGCAGACCTCGGCGTTCGACCCCCGGGACCTGCGCGGGCTGGGCGTGGGCGAGGCCGCGCTGCGCCCCTTCCTGGAGCGCGGCCTCCTGCAGGAGGGTGGGGACTGGCCGCGCTGCTACCGCTTCCTGCACCCGAGCCTGCAGCACTTCCTGGCGGCCGCGCTCTACGTCCTGGGCGGCGGCGCGGGGGAGCCCGGGTGGGACGCTCGCGGGGTGCAGAGGCTGCTCTCCGACGAGGAGGCACTCGGGAACCCCCACCTGGCCCGCGTGGGGCGCTTCCTATTCGGCCTCGCCAACGAGGACCGGGTCCGGGAGCTGGGGGCCACCTTCGGCTGCCCGGTGTCCACGGAGGTCAAGCGCGAGCTGCTGCGATGCACGGCGAGGTCCCGCCAGAGCGGCGCCTTCTCGTCGGCGGCGCACGCCCGGGAGGCCCTGGGCCGTCTCTACGAATCGCAGGAGGAGCCGCTGGTGAAGGAGGCCATGGCGCCGGTCACCGAAGTGTCGCTGCACCTGAAAGACGCCCCGGACCTCGAGCACGCGTCCTTCTGCCTCAAGCACTGCGAAAACCTGCGGACACTGCGTCTGCGCGTGGAAAAGGGCGTGTTCCTGGACGTCGACAGTGCGTCCGAGGCCGAGGCCCAGGCTGCCGGGTACGGCCCCTCGCTGTGGGCCCCCCCTACCCTCCCCCCCCCCCCCGGCTTCCCACCCTGCTCCCGCTCCCTGTGGCTTAGGCTCAGAACCTTCTTCTGGCCAGAATGTCTCCTGGCAGCTTGCCATTCAAGGTGGGGAGCACTATGGTCATACTAGGAACGGGGTCATTGGAACCAAGTATTATTTTGAGACCTGTCTCCTTTTTCCCTTAGCTGAGCAATTTTTGCAAATGGCTCAACCTGTGTCAGTTCACATGTTGGTAGGCTAGGTTTCCCATTTCTACTCAATTGTCCCATTTGGCATGATGGGTAGAAAAGCATTAAAGATGTGAAGGCAGAGGTCGAATCAACAAGGGGTTGGAAGGCTCCTCCACCATGATCAAAGGAGAGCCCTTCCACGGACACCTTACCCAACACGACAGAGACCACGAGATAACCGCACACAGTTGTGAGGCTTTGTTATTTTTGAAAATTTTTTAATGTTGTTTTATTTATTTCGGAGAGAGAGAGAGACAGCGTGAGCAGGGGAGGGTCAGAGAGAGAGGGAGACCCAGAATCCGAAACAGGCTCCAGGCTCTGAGCTGTCAGCACAGAGCCCGATGCGGGCTCGAACCCACAAGCCGTGTGATCATGACCTGAGCCCAAGTCCGACGCTTAACTGAATGAGCCACCCAGGCGCCCCGAGATTTTGTTATTCTTGATGTAGACTCAAGTAACATCAACGGAGCTCATACAGAGTTTCCAAATACTAGTTCTCACCCAGTTACTGTGGGTAACGTGTAATCTTCCATGTTGAGACGAAGGTACTGGTTTTATTTTTTTTTATTTTATTTTTTTTATATTTTTTATTTATTTCTAGTAGAGAGAGAGAGACAGCGTGAGCAGGGGAGGGTCAGAGAGAGAGGGAGACACAGACTCTGAAATTGGCTCCAGGCTCTGAGCTGGCAGTCAGCACAGAGCCCGACGCGGGGCTCGAACCCACGAACCGCGAGATCACGACCTAAGCGAAAGTCGGACGCTTAACCGACTAAGCCACCCAGGCGCCCCGGTACTGGTTTTAGAAAAGGGTGCTTCAGTGGTATTAGACTCCAGTCCACTTGCTCTTGAAGTCCTAGTCACAATCCAAGATCACTGCTGATGGTCCTGTGTAGGACCCCCCAACATACTCATGTTTATCTTCTCAACCCGCCTCTTCCTCACCCCTAAGTGGTCCTCCAAAATCAGTATCTGAAATTCTCCTGCATATCCATGGGGCCAGAATAAAATGCCCTCATCGATTTCCTGGTGGAGGTGTCTATTTTCCACATCGATTTCCTGGTGGAGGTGTCTATTTTCCACATGCCCTTAATTTTCCTTCACATTCCTTCCCCACTTCGCGGAGAGCCATTAACTTGAGTCACTGCCAGGGACTGTTAGGACCACAGCAGGTTTGCATGAACATTTTCTCCACCTCACAGATCACCAGCAGTGCACAGACCTTATCCCTTCATCCGCACCCTGATTTTGTTTCTTCTCTCATCCAAGTGTTTGGACAGGCCCACATGCTAGTTATCTAAGTCTTTCCTCTCCAGGAGAGTCACCTAAGAGCTGCTTGGAATGAAAACAAAATTGCATGAATAACCTCCTCTATACCATCCAAGATCCCAAGTCAAAATAGTCTCTGTTTTCCTATTTGATTGGTTGGGTGGTTTGTTTGTTGAGTTTCAGAGCTTTTATTTTATTTTAATATAATTTATTATCAAGCTAGCTAACATACAGTGTATACCTTGACCTTGGGAGTAGATTCCCATGATTCATCGATTACATACAGCACCCAGTGTTCATCCCAACAAGTGCCCTCCTCAATGTCCATCACCCATTTTCCCTCTCCCCCACACCACCCCAATCAATTCTGAGTTTGTTCTCTATATTTAAAGAGTCTCTTAGCGTTTACCTCCCTCCTGCTCTGTTTGTAACTGTTTTTTCCCCCTTCCCTTCCCTCATGGTCACAGTCTTCTGTTAGGTTTCTCAAGTTCCACATACGAGTGAAAACACATGATACCTGTCCTTCTCTGACAGACTTATTTCACTCAGCATAATACCCTCCAGTACCATCCATGTTGCTACAAATGGCAAGATTTCATTCTTTCTCTTTGCCAAGTAGTATTCCATTGCATATATAAACCACGTCTTCTTTATCCATTCATCAGTTGATGGACATTTGGGCTCTTTCCATAATTTGGTTATTATTGAAAGTGCTGCTATAAAGATTAAGGTACATGTGACCCTATGAATCAGCACTCCTGTATCCTTTGGATAAATTCCTAGTAGTGCTATTGCTGGGTCATACGGTAATTCTATTTTTAATTTTTTTCACTATACTTAGAAGATGTGTCTTTTTAAATTTAACTTATTTTCTAAATTTAGATCCAAGGTAGCATATAGTGCAACAATGATTTCAGGAGTAGATTCCTTAATGTCCCTTACCCATTTAGCCCATCCCCCCCTCCCACAACCCCTCCGGCAACCCTCTGTTTGTTCTCCATATTTAAGAGTCTCTTATGTTTTGTCCCCCTCCTTGTTTTTATATTTTTGCTTCCCTTCCCTTATGTTGATCTGTTTTGTATCTAAAAGTCCTCATATGAGTGACGTCATATGATATTTGTCTTTCTCTGACTAATTTCACTTAGTGTAATACCCTCTAGTTCCATCCACGTAGTTGCAAATGGCAAGATTTCATTCTTTTTGATTGCTAATATTCCAGTGTGTGTGTGTGTGTGTGTACATGTGTACACCACATCTTCTTTATCCATTCATCCCTCAATGGACATTTGGGCTCTTTCCTTACTTTGGCTACTGTTGATAGTACAGCTATAAACATTGGGGTGCATGTGCCCCTGTGAAACAGCACTCCTGTGTCCCTTGGATAAATAGTGCAATTGCTGAATCATAGGGTAGTTCTATTTTTAATTTCCTGAGGCACCTCCATTCTGTTTTCCAGAGTGGCTGTACAAGTTTGCATTCCCACCAGCAGTGCAAAAGAGACAGTCTTTCTCTGCATCCTTGCCAACATCTGCTGTTGCCTGAGTTGTTAATGTTAGCCATTCTGACAGGTGTTGAGGTGGTATCTCAGTGTGGTTTTGATTTGTATTTCCCTGATGATGAGTGATATTGAGCATTTTTTCATGTGTCAGTTGGCCATCTGGATGTCTTGTTTGGAAAAGTGTCTATTCATGTCTTTTGCCATTTCTTCACTGGATTATTTGCTTTTTGGGTGTTGAGTTTGAGACATTCTTTAGATTTGGATACTAACCCTTTATCTGATATATCATTTGTGAATATATTCTCCCATTCCATTGGTTGCCTCTTAGTTGTGCTGATTGTTTCCTTCACTGTGCAGAAGCTTTTTATTTTGATGAGGTCCCAATAGTTCACTTTTGCTTTTGTTTCCTTTGCCTCTTGAGATGTGTTGAGTAAAAAGTTGCTGTGGCCAAGGTCAAAGAGGTTTTTGCCTGTTTTCTCCTCAAGTATTTTGATGGCTTCTTGTCTTACATTTGGGTCTTTCATTCATTTTGAGTTTATTTTTTGTGTATGGTGTAAGCAAGTGGTCCAGGTTCATTTTTCTGCAGGTCGCTCTCCAGTTTTCCCAGCACCACTTGCTGAAGAAACTGTCTTTATTCCATTGGATATTTTTTCTTCTTTCTCAAATATGCATTGGCCATATGTTTATAAGTCCATTTCTGGGTTCTCTATTCTGTTCCATTGACCTGAGTGTCTGTTTTTGTGCCAGTACCATACTGTCTTGATGATTACAGCTTTGTAACACAGTTTGAAGTCCAGAATTGTGGTGCTACCTACTCTGATTTTCCTTTTCAAGATTACTTTGTCTATTCAGGGTCTTTTCTGGTTCCATACAAATTTTAGGATTGATTTTTCTAGCTCTGTGAAGAATGCTGGTGTTATTTTAATAGGTATTGCATTGAATACGTAGATTGCTTTGGGTAGTATTGACATTTTAACAATATTTGTTCTTCCTATCCAGGAGCATGGAATATTTTTACATTTTTTTGTGTGTCTTCTTCAATTTCATAAACTTTCTATAGTTTTCTGTATATATATTTTTCACCTTGTTGGTTAGATTTATTCCTGGGTATTTTGTGTTTTGATGTAACTGTAAATGGGATCAATTCCTTGATTCCCCTTTCTGTTGCTTCATGGTTGGTGTATAGGGATGCAACCGGTTTCTGTGCATTGATTTTACAACCTGCAACTTTGCTGAATTCATGGATCAGTTCTAGCGGGGGTTTTTTTGGTGGAATATTTTGGGTTTGCCATATACAGTATCAGGTCACCTGTCCAGAGTGAAAGTTTGACCTCCTCCTGGCTGATTGGGATGCCCTTTATTTCTTTGGGTTCTCTGATTGCTGAGGTAAGAGTTCCAATGCTATTTTTTTTTTTTACAAATAGTTTATTGTCAAATTAGTTTCCACATAACACTCAGTGCTCATCCCCCTCCATGCTCAGTGCCCTCCTCCATGCCCCTCCCCCCTCCCCCCCACATCCATCAGTCCTCAGTTTTTGTCAGCATTCAAGAGTCTCTCATGGTTTGCCTCTCTCCCTTTCCCCCACCATTTCCGCCCTTCTCCCCCTTGTTCCTCCGCCAAGTTCCTCCTAATCCTCCTATACGTGCAATCTACCCAAGGGATACAGAAATGCTGAGGCATAGGAGCACATGTACCCCAATGTTCATAGCAGCACTCTCCACAATAGCTAAAACATGGAAAGAGCCTAAGTGTCCATCAACAGATGAATGGATCAAGAAGATGTGGTTTATCTATACCAATGCTATTTTGAATAACAGTGGCAAGAGTGGGCATCCCTGCCTTGTTCCTGACTTTAGGGGGAAAGCTCTCAGTTTTTCCCCATCGAGGATAATTATTAGTGTTGCGTCTTTCATATATGACTTTTACGATCTCGAGATAGGATTCCTCTATCCCTGTTTTCTTGAGGGTTTTTATCAAGAAAGGGTGCTGTATTTTGTCTAATGCTTTCTCTGCATCTATTGAGAGGATCGTGTGGTTCTCGTCCTTTGTTTTATTGATGTGATGAATCGCCTTGAGTGTTTTGCAGATATGGAACCAGCCCTGCATCCCAGGTATAAATCCCACTTGGTCATGGTGAATAATTTTTTAATATATTGTTGGATCTGATTAGCTAGTATCTTATTGAGGACTTTGGCATCCATGTTCATCAGGGAAATTGGTCTATAGTTCTTTTTAGTGGCATCTTTGTCTGGTCTTGGAATCAAGGTAATGCTGGCTTCGTAGGAAGAGTTCGGAAGTTTTCCTTCCATTTCAGTTTTTTGCTATTTTTAATTTTTTGAGGAACCTCCACCATTTTGTTTTTTTAACCTTGGTTTGGTTAAAACCAGTGATGGCACCAGTGTTAAATAGCACTTCATTAACCACAGTTCAGCTCGATGGTTCTCAGAGCTCCCATCTGAGAAAAGGCAGCATGGATGTCTTTAGGTTTAATTATGACCATTCTGGTCTGTTATGCAAACTCCTGCTTTTCATGAAAGTTCCTTTCAGACTGTTTTCGCCACTTTCCCTTATGTGCTGCCCATCAAAGCAGCCTTGTAGCATTGCTGGTTTGCAACTCTCAGGATGGTTAAGTCACAAGATGCCTTCTGATCAAATCACTTCCTCTACTTAGTGGCTTGATTATCTTATCTTGATAAGAGAGTTGCTGACATTAACCCTACACAGCCCTTAGATTCCCCCTCAGCTCCCAGAGCATATAGACCATGCCTTTTGAAAAGTCACAGATTTGGGACACCTGAGTGGCTCAGTCCGTTGAGCATCTGACTTTGGCTCAGGTTATGATCTTACAGTTCATGACTTTAAGCCCCAAATCAGGCTCTGTGCTGACAGCTCAGACCCTGGAGCCTGCTTCAGATTCTGTGTCTTCCTGTGTCTCTGTGCCCTCACCCTTGTCCCCTCTTCCTCCCCCAATAAACATTAAAAATTTTTTTTTACAAAAAGTCACAAATTCTAGGTTGATAATGGGTTGTCATCTTCATGATGCCTCAAGTTTTACAATCAGGTCATTTATTTTATGTATTTATTTATTTTAATGTTTAGAGAGAACGAGCAAGCACGAGCAGGGGAGGGGCGGGGGGGGGGACAGAAGATCCAAAGCAGGGTCCACACTGACAGCACAGAGCCTAATGTGGGGCTCAAACCCACAAACCATGAGATCATGACCTGAGCCAAAGTTGGATGCTTAACTGAACCACGCAGATGCCTCTAGGTCATTTACTTTAAGTGTGTCTTTATTCAGGGCAAGCACCACTAATAAAATCAAAGGTATAACCTTGTCTTAAAGCAGCCAAGGGACCTAGAGCTGACAGAATCTAACTTCTGTCTGATTTCTTTTTTCTTCCCCTATTTCAAACCACAAACTGTCTCCCATGTGTAGGACTTGCTCTTCAGTCAAGTCTACTAATAAAGCTTCTTGTCTTTAGAAACTTTTTTCTCTGGGCTATTTTGAACCTTAGGAAGATATGCCCATTGACTCAAATAAAATGATTCCTCCATTAGTACCTCTGGAAGAGCATCCCCAAACACAGTCTTGTATAACCTTATCCTTCTGCAGAAGGAAGGAAAATTGTCCTTCAGAAGAGAGGGTGACTGGGGTGCCTGAGTGGCTCAGTTCATTGAGCACCCAACTTCAGCTCAGCTCATGATTTTGTGGTTGATCCCCGTATTGGCCTCTGCGCTGACATCTCAGAACCTAGAGCCTGCTTCAGATTCTGTGTCTTCCTGTCTCTCTGCCCCTCCCCTGCTCATGCTCTGTCTCTCTCTGTCTCAAAAATAAAATAAACAGTAAAATTTTTTAAAAAGAAAATTAAAGCAGTATTGAAAAAGGCCAAGAAATCAGGTCACCTACCCAAACCCTATCCCCGGAAGCAACCAGCAGACCAAAATGAACATTCTCTGATAAGTCTGTGTATATGAATATGTAACTACTTAAAGATTGTATTTTCTCAAGTTTTTATGAACTTTTTTTTTTGAGAGCAAGAGAGCACGTGTGTGCGTGGGGCAGGAGCAGAGGGAGAGAGAGAATCTCAAGCAGACTCCACCCCCAGCATAGAGCCCAACACAGGGCTCAATCTTTTGACCGTGACATCATGACATGAGCTGAAATTAAGAGTCAGATGCTTAACCAACTGAGCCATACAGGTGCCCTGGATATCTTTTTAGGTCACAAATATACTTGTAAATCAGATTGAGAATATAATGTGTATGGATTCACCATTAGATATTCAAATATCCTCTATTTACATGTATATCATTCTCAAACTTTTTTCTTAACTTTTTTACTGTTTATTTTTGAGAAAGAGCGAGAGAGAAAGAGACAGATCACTGGCATGGGAGGGGCAAAGAGAGAAGGGGAGGGAAAGAGAGAGAGAGAGAGAGAGAGAGAAACAGAATCTGAAGCAGGCTTCAGGCTCTGAGCTGTCAGCACAGAGCCCGATGCAGGGCTCAAACTCATGAACCATGAGATCATGAGCTGAACCAAAGTTGGATGCCTAACCAACTGAGACACCAAGGCACCCCTCACTCTCAATCTTTTATCAATGATCTGCTTAGAATTTTGGCTTATTCCAACCCTATTGGACTGTTGTGTTCTTTCTCTGATGACATGATTAGCTGTCTGATAGTGATGCTAACTGATTGAATCATCTCACATTTAGATTTATACTTATATTGGGGGTGTATGTCCAGAGCAAGCCTAAATTATCTTCACATAATGGAGAAATGTTAGTTTTCTCTCCAGCAACATTTGGTAAATTCCCTCCTTTGCCCCTTCCCAGTAGGTCCCAGAATGATGAACACATGCTCCCTTTCTGGATGGACTTTTGTTCTGTGTTCGACTCCAACAAGAATCTGGTATTTCTAGACATCAATCAGACCTTCCTGAGTAACTCATCAGTGAGGATTCTATGTGAGAAAATTGCCTCTGCTAACCATAATCTTCAGAAAGTGGTGTAAGTAGAAGCTAATCCCTGAATTAAAACCCCCAGGGCATAACCAAGCTGCTTACGTTTTTAATATTGGAGTAATATTTGAATTTCTTTCCCAGAATCCCAACTGGGAACTCAAGACATAAGGAATTCTACTGAATCATATGAAGTAATCGTTTACAGTTTTTTTTTTATTGTGGTGTAACATAAACTCATCATTATTTTTAAATGTACAGTTACGCATTTTTATTTTTTCTCTGTTTACTGACTTTTATTTATCTTTTTCTACAAATAGTTTATTGTCAAATTAGTTTCCACATAACACTCAGTGCTCATCCCCACAAGTGCTCTCTTCCATTCCCATTCCTCCTCCCCCCCCACATCCATCAGTCCTCAGTTTTTGTCAGCATTCAAGAGTCTCTCATGGTTTGCCTCTCTCCCTTTCCCCCACCATTTCAGCCCTTCTTCTCCCCCTTGTTCCTCCGTCAAGTTCCTCCTAATCCTCCTATACGTGCAAACATATGATATTTGTCCTTCTCTGCCTGACTTATTTCACTCAGCATAACACCCTCAAGGTCCATCCATGTTGCTACACATGGCCAGATTTCATTGTTTCTCATTGCCATGTAGTATTCCATGGTATAGATAAACCACATCTCCTTGATCCGTTCGTCCGTTGATGGACACTTAGGCTCTTTCCATGTTTTAGCTATTGTTGAGAGTGCTGCTATGAACATTGGGGTACATGTGCTCCTATGCCTCAGCATTTCTGTATCCCTTGGGTAAATTCCTAGCAGTGCTATTGCTGGGTCCTAGGGGAGTTCTATTATTAGTTTCCTTAGGAACCTCCACACTGTTTTCCAGAGGGGCTGTACCAGTTTACCTTCCCGCCAACAGTGTAGGAGGGTGCCCGTTTCTCCACATCCTCGCCAGCATCTAGAGTTCTCTGATTTGCTCATTTTAGCCACTCTGACTGGCGTGAGGTGGTATCTCAGTGTGGTTTTGACATATTGGATAAAGGGTTAATATCCAGAATCTATAAGGAACCCACCAAACTACACGCCCGAAAAACAAACAACCCAGTGAAGAAATGGGCAGTTACGCATTTTTAAATGTATATGGCAGCCTCCACCACCACCCATCTCCAGAACTTCCTTTGTCTTATAAAACTGAAACTTTGACCCCAGTAAACAATAATCCCCTGTGATCCCCACTCCCCAGGCCCTGGGAACCACTTTTCCACTTTGTTTATCAAGTAATTTTATTACAGTGTGAAATATGGTTTGAATGTCCACAAAACCCCACAAGGAACATCAGATCCTGAGGGCAGTTTTCATCCCATTTAGACAACCCCAGGGCTGTACATAGAGCAGGATTTCTCAACCTCTGCCGACACTTTGGGCTGGAGGGGGGCTATCCTGTGCATTGTAGGATATTTATCCTCTACCTTCCAGATGCCAGTGGCACCCACGCATCCCCAGCTGTGACAACCTAAAACATCTCCAGACATTTCCAGGTGTTCCCAGGGAGTATAAAGAATCACCCCTGACTGGAAGCCCTGTTGGAGAGATGGTGCTGAGACAGGCCTGCAACCTGGCCTGCGTAAAGTTAAAACTCACTAGGGCTGGGTATATGTCTGCCTGAATATGATCCAAAAATCTATGTAGTTGAATGAAATTGGGAAGAAATGGTGGGGCTAATTACAGAACTTAAATACTTGTATTTGGAACAGGGTATGCTCCTGTCCACCTAAGACAGTGCTTCAGAATCTCCCTGGACCTGAGGCTCATCTAGACCTGTGTAGCTCCTGTACAGGGGAAGTCCTGTAAGCTTCCACATAGACAGGCCACAGGGGGTGGTTAGGGAAGGAGACCAAACCTGATTTAGTCGGCAGAGTGTGCTTTGGTACCAGTGAGACCTTCTCCAGCTATAGGTGTCTTCTTTCATAGATTTCTTTCTCGACCTAGAGAAGAGTTTTTCTTGCTCACCTCCATGGGATCCTGATTCTAAATGCACCATATTCAGCAGGGCGTAGTGCTCCTGAAATGTCCCTATTGGTGACACTTCAGAGAAAGGGACTGCTCCCCTTCCTTGTCTTTTTCAAAAAGCTGTAGAACAGCTTTTGTCTGAAACGTCTATTGATGACTGACTTCCCTTCTGTAAAAGTTGGAAAGGGCTAAAAAAAAAGTTGAAGCTTCTGATAGCTTCTAAAATTAGATGTTAGTCAAGTGGTACAAAGTTCCAATTAATGCAAAATGAGTGAGTGAGTTCTGGAGACCTAACTATACACCGATGTGACAACAGTTAATAATGCATCGTATACATGAAATTTGTTGAGAGACTTGACTTGATCTCAAGTGTTCTCGCCACAAAAAAAAAAAAAAAAAAACTACGGAAATGGCGATTATGTGAGGTGATAGGTATGTTAACTAGCTGATTAAGCTTGATGTGATGATTTCACAAGGTACGTGTATATCAAAACATTAACTCCTACACCTTAATGTATACAATTTGACAATAAATACCTCAATGAAGGTGAAAAATATGAACCGTAGTTTCCGGTGTTTAAACCTGTTGCAGCCCTTTGTTTCCGTGTATATAGAAACTCACTGCTTCACCTCTGTTGTCATTGCCCTAGCCTCAAAGATGTGTCCCCGGCGGATGCTTATCGGGATTTCTGCGTTGTCTTTCGTGGTCATGAAACACTAACCCATCTGACCCTTCAAGGAAATGACCAGGATGATATGCTTCCCATATTGTGTGAGACCTTGAGACACCCCAGATGTAATCTGCAATGCCTCAGGTATATCTCACCACCACTGAAAACCCCAGCACATAAACAGAGCTGCCTCAGGCTTCTACAACAATTCTGTATAAATTAGGAGGGTGTGGGAAATCCCTTATTTCTGCTTAGAAACTGTACTACTCAGGGCACATGTCCCAGAACAGAAAATAGGCTGGGAGTTTAGTTTCCACTTGTATTGATCATTGAACAACCTGGGTAACTATCCATAAGAGCCCCAAGTCCAAAGAAACACTCAGAAACTTGATATCTTCCTCCATCAGAGGGGACTTGTTGATGACTTATGTCTCTCTTACGTTGTGATTCAGAATACCCGATTCTGTTCAGACTCCTCTGTCCAGGCAAGGATGCTTTGGGAGCATCAGGTTTCCCCTTTCTTGTGTTGAGAGAACCCCCCTTTAGGGACGTTCTTCACATGATTGCTCTGGTGATGATTTTCATCATTCATCATGGGGTTCCACTGATTCCCACTTGACCACGTTTGAGCAGTAATAGGAAGACCGTTTAAGGTGATCTGTGGGTCTCAAATTGCAGTTTTGCCTCTACTGGTATGATCTTGGGCTGTTGAACTAGGTCTTATCACCATCAATAGGTTGGAGTAATGCACATCTCACAAGGATTTGAGGAATGAATGAAACCAAGTCCAAGCAAACAAGTATTCATCATTGCATTATGGATAGTAGCCACTATCATTATTCACCATTACTAAGACCTTCCTTTCTTTTCCTTGTGAGGATTCCCCAGGAAAAGAAATTACGCAATTTGAAGACTTCAGTCATTAACTTATTTCTCAAGGAATAAATGGATACCCACAATGGAAGAAGAACACTCTATACAAATTTGGCTTCTTTTATTAGAAGCCATTAAACATTCTCTTTTGTGTTCCAAAGCCTTGGTTAACTTTGATTCCTCTATTAAGAATTAGACTCTAAGAGAAAAAAAAAGTGTTTTGTTGGGTTTTAGTAAGTTTTAGCTATGTGGTACACAGTCCACTTAGCACTTCATGTCAATTGTCAACCTTAATAAACACTCAACATGAGGGTAGGACTTATTTCCAATTTAAAGATGGAAATGAGGTTTGATGTTCAGTAAGTTGGCCACAGTATCATATACCATAAATGGTAGAACTAAGATTTTCTTTTTTAGAAACCCTACTCCAAAGGCCATAATACACATAATGGCCCCAAGGGAAGTTGCATTTGTCCGTGGTAAGAATATCTCTCTCCAGGAATAGGGTATGGGTCCCTTATTGCCTGGTATGCTTGATCGATTTGAATTTCTAAATAAATAGTTCTCAATTTCTGGTCTCCAGACCAGCAGCAGCTTCATCACCTAGGAACTTGTTAAAATCCAAATTCTTGGGTCGCACCCAGATCTTCTGAATCAACTTCTGAGTATGTGGCCCAGGAATCTTGCAGGTGATTCAGGACACCCCAAAACAGAAATCAGTGGATTCCACATCCAGAGTTTGAGGACTTGCATTTCTAAGTATTTGCCAGGTGGTGCTGATGTGGCTGGCCCAGGGACCACACTTAGACAGAGTCTGCTCCACATAATTAAGTCCAGGACCTGACATAATGGAGTGGAATGAGGGGTAAAACTGGAGACCGTTGTCTATGGTTTGGTTCTCAAGAATGACTTGTTCCCATTTCTCCTGCAGGTTGGTATCTTGTTCTGCCACTGCTCAGCAATGGGCCCATCTCTCCTCCTCCCTCGAGATCAACCAGTCCCTCACATGCCTGAACCTCACAGCAAATGAGCTTACAGATGAGAGTGCCAAGTTGTTGTGCAAGACTCTGAGACACCCCAAGTGCTTACTGCAGAGGCTGTCGTAAGTACCACCTCTGTTCCCATGGAACATCTCCCTACTAGGTCTGGGGCCACATAGGGAAGAGCACCGGTGACCCCTGGATTTGCTCGGCCACCCATATGGGACCTCCTACTGATGTGGGCATCTGGTTTCCCCTTCTGGTCCCAAGCAAGTGGTTCATGCATCTTCTTCTCTCACTCCTGGTCCTTCATGGCTGTGAGCATTAACCACGTGATGAGAGAGGAAAGGCATTACCTAGAAGAGCTGTATACAGCTGGGGCCTCAAGCTGTTGGGGATGGCCAAGAAAATGGGTCTTTGGAAATGTTCTCGCTGTCTTACTGCTTGTGTGGTGCTTTGGCAGGTTGGAAAACTGTCACCTTACAGAGGCCTGTTGCAAGGAGCTCTCTTCTGCTTTGATCGTCAACCAGAGGCTGACACACCTGTGCTTGGCAAAGAACGCTCTCGGAAATGGTGGGGTAAAACTTCTGTGTGAGGGCTTGAGTTACCCCGACTGTCAACTACAGACGCTGGTGTAAGTCCGTGCTGACTATATGTATGTGCATTTGTGTATACTGGATTCAAGTAGGACAGATGCAAGCATTTACTGATTCCTCTGAATACCCCAAGTACGTTGCTGATGGTTAGATCTGGTGAGACCCAGTGGTGGAATAAAAAATACAAGAGGGGAGTCTGGGTGGCTCAGTTGGTTAAGCATTTGACTTCAGCTCAGGTCATGATCTTGTGATTCACGAGTTGGAGACCCGCGTTGGGGAGACTGCTTCAGATTCTGTCTCCCTCTTTCTCTGCCTCTCCCCCACTCATGCTCTACCTCTCTCCTTCAAAAATAAACATTTTTTTAACAAAAGAAAAAATACAAGACATAGTGTCAATAATCTATAGGGATTTGAGGGATGTTGCTAGTTTCCAGGTTTGTTTCTTTTTTTTTAACCTTAAAAAAATTTTATTTTTTTTACTTTTTTATTTATTTTTTTAATTGTTTATTGTCAAGTTGGTTTCCATATAACACCCAGTGCTCATCCCCACAAGTGCCCTCCTCCATGCCCATCACCCCCCTTCCCCTCTCTCCCCACCCCCATCAGCCCTCAGTTTGTTCTCAGCATTCAAGAGTTTCTCATGGTTTGCCTCCCTCCCTCTCCCCAACTATTTTCCCCCTTTTTCTCCCCCATGGTCCTCCGTTAGCTTCCTCCTAATCCTTCTATACGTGCAAACATATGGTATCTGTTCTTCTCTGCCTGACTTATTTCGCTCAGCATAACACCCTCAAGTTCCATCCATGTTGCTACACGTGGCCAGATTTCATTCTTTCTCATTGCCATGGAGTATTCCATCGTATAGATAAACCACATCTTCTTGATCCATTCATCAGTAATTTTTTTAATGTTTATTTATTTTTGAGACATAGAGCACAAGCAGGGGAGGGGCAGAGAGAGAGGGAGGCACAGAATCTGAAACAGACTCCAGGCTCCGAGCCAGCTGTCAACACAGAGCCCGACATGGGGCTCGAACCCACAAACTGTGAGATCATGACCTGAGCCGAAGTTGGATGTTTAACTGCCTGGGCCACCCAGATGCTTGTGTTTTTTAATGCGTGTTTTTAATATCATGTAACATAAGCTCTATCTGCAAATGCGTGTGGGTAAAGTTTTTTGCCAACTATCTCAGTATAATCCTCCATGTTAACACTAAAGTCACAGGGCAAATTTTGATAAAGGAATAGAGCTACATTGTTTCTATTCAGAGATTCTATTCCGTGTGAACATCTCTGGTGTTCTTGCTGTCTACAAAATCGCCTGTGTCAGTAACTGTCAGCATTTTTAATAAACCAGTTGTAATCTAGGATATGCCTTACGGTACCCAACATCCAAAAATTACTCACTCACTTTAAATCCCACAAAGCATTCAGCTTGTGGTTGGAGAAAAGTGGAAAGAAAGGATTTTACCCTGCTATCTAAATCCCCAAACACTAAAATAATATAAAATTTCATAGGAAATAAGATATTACCCACCCACTAGTTCTATCTTCAAACCAAGTTATGTTACGTTACTACCATCCAAGGCATCTAAACAGAAAAAATAGTGATGGCCAACATTTATCAAGCCCCTGAATTAATTACTAGGTGCTGGGCACTCTGCTAAGGTCATGTCAGAGATTTTTTTTTACATTTAATGCCCCAGCCCTTATAAAATTAATACCTGTGTCTCCAGTTTGCAGTTAAGAAAACTAAGACTCAGACATTGAACGTCATCGTGTTTGCATCCCCCTGGAAGGTGTGACTCGGGAAATATAGGTCTAATCTTCTTTTTGGGCCTCCTCTGTTTCTGTTTTGTGAGCCATGCTCCCACTTTACTAAGTTGTCATAACTTAATTTCATTTGACTGTCTTGTTTGAGTCTTCCTCTGTTACCCCATAGTTCTGGGAGTTTCTATCAATTTACAAACCTCCAAGCCAAAGAGGTTTATGTTGGTTCCTCTCAGAGACTGTGTATGGCTGCCCATCCCTAGATAGATCACATGACTGTTACTCCCTGAGGTCTGGCCATGTGACCAATACTGTCACTCAGAGTTCACTGAAATTAAAAGGTGGCAGCATTGGTGTTCTATTAGTGCTGTCACAAATTACCATGAACTTATCAGCTCAACAGTTTGTATACCTCATAGGTCAGAAGACCAGTATACACAGGGCTGTGTTCCTTTCTGAAGATTCTAGGAAGGAACCCATTCTCTCAGTTATTCAGGTTGTTGGTAGTATTTGCTTCTTGGTGGTTGTAGGGTTGGGGTCCCTGCAAGCCAAGAGCCAGCCTCAGCCCCTAACAGTGACTCCACTTCTTAGTTCATGGCTCTCTCCCTCCCCCTTCAAAGCTGGCCGTAGTGGGCCAAGCCCACACATTTTCTCTCTCTCCACTTCAGCCAAAAAGGACTCCTAAGATTAGGTTCAGCCCCTCTGTATAGTGTGGAGTAACCTCGCCATCGAGGTCCTTAGTCTACATCTCTGCAAAGTCCCTTTTGCCCTGTAAGGTCTGGAGATTAGGGCCCAAACATCTTTGAGGCCCATTATTCTATGAAAGTAGCCGTCTCTGGTTTTCTGCTAATATTAAGCTCAGAACTCTAATAATAAACTAGGGGAAGGCAAAAAAAAAATATTTTTAATGGTTAAGAAGTTCTGATATCCTGTGATATCTAGGATCTAGTGCCAGATTTGTCCAGGTGAGAACTGGTACCCTCCACCTATATGGTACCACCTTTCTAATAACTGGATTTAGGAAGTATAACTGGTCCCTTCCCCAAATAAAAGAGATTGCAGGCCAGGGCAAGATGGATACTGTCTTCTCCCTAGTTAGGGCAGAAATAATATATGCCACTTGTATGAGTTTCCTAATTGTTTCTGTAATGAATTGTCACAAATGAAGAGGCTTAAAACAACACAAATTCATTGTCTTAAAGTTCTAGAGGCCAGAAGTCCAAAATGAGTTTCACTGAGCTAAAATGAAGGTGTCTGCAAGGTGGTGTTCTTTCTGTAGACTCCAGGGAAGGATCCATTTCCTGGCGTTTTCCAGCTTCTAAAGGCACCTGCATTCCTTGGTTCATGGCCCCTTCCTCCATGTTCAAAGCCAGAAGCATAGTGTCTTCAACTGTCCTTCGGTCCCTGTTATCCCGTCTCCCCCTGCTGGCTCTGACTCTTATGTTTCTTCTTTATAAAGATCCTTGTGATTACATTGGCCCACCTGGGTGATCTCCGCATCTCTATATCCTTAACTCAATGGCACCTGCAGAGTCTCCCTTACATGTAATGTGACATATTCACAGGGACCAGGGATTAGGATTTAGATGCCTTTGCATGTGTTAGGGCAGGGGGAGGGGGCAGCCTATATAACCACTTATGTAGTAATTGTAACTCCATCCATGATTTCATTGCCATGTCTCATTGTCTGCAAGCTTGTGTACAACCTGTGGCTTGAGGCCGACGGTCCTGGCTTTGGTGCATCTCATCAGGGTGGACCCACAGAGTTTATTTTCTTCATGTGATTGGTTTTTAGGCTTTGGTACTGCAGCATAACCAGCAATGGCTGCCATCATCTGTCAACCCTTCTCCAGCAAAATTCAAGCCTTACACACTTGGATCTGGGGCTGAATCACATAGGAATTACTGGACTGAAGTTTCTGTGTGAGGCTTTGAAGAAGCCAACGTGTAACCTCAAATGTCTATGGTAAGTTATGTTTTTTAAATTTAATTCTATTTTTTTGTGTGTGTTTTATTTATTTTTTTCTGAAATAATTTTTTGTCAATTTGGTTTCCATATAACACCCAGTGCTCATCCCCACAAGTGCCCTCCTCCATGCCCATCACCCCCCCTTTCCCCCACCCCCATCAGCCCTCAGTTTGTTCTCAGCATTCAAGAGTCTCTCATGGTTTGCCTCCCTCCCTCTCCCCAACTATTTTCCCCCTTCTTCTCCCTCATGGTCCCATACCACCCTGAATGTGCCCGATCTTGTCTGATCTCGGAAGCTAAGCAGGGTCGGACCTCGTTTGTACTTGGATGGGAGACCATGTTTTTTTAAAATTTTAATCTGTAGCTGAAATAAAATAGTGTAGCAATCCCCCCACCCCCACCAGCTCTAATATAAGAGATTGGAACAAATCAAATTATTTTTTTAGAAAAGTAAGATAGCAGTTTTCATAACTTTTTTAACCCCAAAATTTGTAGGCAACCATAAAAGACTCCAAATAGCCAAATCAGTTAGTTCTCACAAAGAACAACAAAGCTGGAGGCATCACACTTCCTGATTTCAAACTATTATATCAAAATGGTATGGTACAGGGGTGCCTGGGTGGCTTAGTCAGTTAAGCGTACGACTTTCACTTAGGTCATGATCTCGCGGTTCGTGGGTAAGAGCCCCGCGTCGGGCTCTGTGCTGACTGCCAACTCAGAGCCTGGAGCCTACTTCAGAGTCTGTATCTCCCTCTCTCTCTCTCTGACCCTCCCCTGCTCACGCTGTCTCTCTCCCTCTCTCCTAGAAATAAATAAAAAATATTTTTAAAAAATGGTATGGTACAGGCATAAAAACAGATACATAAACCAAAAGAACAGAATAGATGGCCCAGAAGTAACCCCCCACCCCCATATGTACAGTCAATTAGTCTTTGATAAGAGCACCAATACTCAATGGGGAAGGGATGATTCCTTCAATAAATAGGGCTGGAAAAAAACTGGATATCCACACGCAAAAGAATGAAATTGAACCCCTTACACTATACACAAAAATTAAATCAAAATGGGGCACCTGGAAAGCTCCATCAGTTAAGCGTCCAACTTCGGTTCATGTCACATCATGAAGTCACTGTGAGTTCAAGTCCTGCGTCGGGCTCTGTGCTGACAGTTTGGAGCCTGGAGCCTTCTTCATATTCTGTGTCTCCTCCTCTTTGCCCGTCCCTCAGTCACACTCTGTCTCTCTCTCTCTCTCAAAAATAAATAAATAATTTTTTTAATTTTTTTTTTTTTTGAGACAGAGGAAGAGCACGACCAGGAGAGGGGCAGAGAGAGAGGGAGACACAGAATCCAAATCAGGATCCAGGCTCTGATCTGTCAGCACAGAACCCAACATGGGGCTTGAACTTAATAACCATGAGATCATGACCTGAACTGAAGGCAGATGCTTAACTGACTGAGCCACCCAGGTGCCCCCCAAATTTTTTAATTTAAAAATACATATATTAACTCAAAATAGATTAAAGACTTAAGACACAAAACTATAAAAATTCCTAGAAGAAAACATAGGGCAAAGGCTCTTTGACATTGTTTTTGGCAATGATTTTTTGGATATGATGCCAAAAAGCACCAGCAGCAAAAGCAAAAGTAAACAAGTGGGAGTTCATCAAACTAGAAAGCTTCTGTCTACCAAATTAAATAGTCAACAAAAATGAAAGATGACCTACAGAAAAATATTTGCAAACCATATATCTGATAAGGGGTTAATATTCAAAATAGATAAGGAACTTCTACAACTCAAGTTTTTTTTAATGAGACCTAAATAGACTTTTTCCAAATCAGACAGACAAATGGCCAACAAGAACATGAAAGACTGTTCAAATTCACTAATCATAGGGGAAATGGAAATCAAATCCACATGAGATATCCCCTCATACCCTTTAGGATGGTTGTCATCAAAAAGAACAGAGATGACAAATATTGGCGAGGATGTGGAGAAAAGGGAATATTTGTGCACTGTTAGTAGGAAAGTACATGGGTACAGCCATATGGAAAACAATATGAAGACTCTCAAAGAACTAAAAATTGATGTATCCTATGATCCAGGAATCCCACTTCTGGGTATATATCCAAAGGAAATGGAAACAGGATCTTAAAAAGATATCTGCACCCCCGTGTTTCTTGAAGCATTATTCACAATAGCCAAAATAGGAAACAACTTAAGTGTCCATCAACAGGATCAGATAAAGAAGATGTGAAATATATATACACAATGGAATACTAGCCATGAGAAGGAAGGAAATCTTGCCATTTTAGATAACATGGATGAAACTCGAGGCTAGAAGCTAAGTTAAATAAGACAAAGACATCACTTATATGTGGAATCTAAAAGAGCTGAGCTCATATAAACAGAAAGTAGAGTGAGAGTTACCAGGGGTTGAGGGGTGGGGTAAGTGTGGAGGGAAGCATACAGACTTCCAGTTAAAAGATGAAGAAGTTCTGGGGAGCCTGGGTGGCACAGTCGTCTAGGCATCTGACTGGATCTTGGCTCAGGTCATGATCTCATGGTTCATGAGTTCAAGCCCTGCATCAGGCTCTGTGCTGAAAGTCCAGAGCCTGCTTGGGATTCTCTGTTCCTCTCTCTCTCTCTCTCTCTCTCTCTCTCTCTCTCTCTGCCCCTCCACTGCTTGTTAATGTTTGTTCCTTCATTTCCTCCCTCCGTCCCTCCCATACCCCTCCCCTGCTTATGCTCGCTCGCTCGCTCTCTCTCTAAAATAAAAAAATAAATAAAGATCTTAAATGTTCTCACAAAAAAGGAAATGAAGATGATGTGTCCGGAAGGAGGTGTCTGCTAACACTACAGTGGTAATCATGTTGCAATATATCAATGTGCCAAATCAACACATTGCCCGTCTTAAATTTACACAATGTTTTGTGTCAATTATATCTCAATAAAGATTAAAGAAAATCTCCAGAAATTTATACCTTTCAACAATAAGAAATAAGATCTACGCTCAGCAAATCTAGTGTTCTCAAAAAAAAAGTAATTGTGTGAGCCGACAGATGTAATTAACTTGACTGTTGATCATTTCACAGTGTGTATTCAACCACATTGTACACCTTAAATACGTACAACTTTTATTTGTCAATTATTCATCAGTAAATCTGGGGCAGAAAAGTCACTAGTGTGCTTAAAGGAATACTCTCTAGTCTAAGCTATTCAAAGGATACCAGTGAACCATTTTAAGTATGCAACACCTAAGGCATCAAGAAGTAACCACTCCTGCCCCAGCTCCCAGCCTCCAGAGAGATGTGCCTCCTCCAGCAGATAAATGGCCTCGATTCACTTCTGTCTCTCAATCCCACATGAGTTAGATACCATCGCTCAGATGCACTGGAGTCTGAACCCTACCTGTGAAGGACCTTCAAATGGTAACCGGTTTTCTGGCCTCTACAGCACAAGATGGTAAGTCATGGTGTTCAGCCTCTACTGAGTAGCAGAAATGCTTGCAGGTTTGAGAATCCCAATACCCAGGCTGTATCTCAGACCACTCCATTTGGGATCTCCACAAGTAAAACCCAGACAGTGGTATTATTAAAGCTCACTGCGCAACTGCAATTTGCACTGGTAAGGATGCCGACTGAATAAATCCTCGAGATCGCAGGTGGGAAACCACTGGTCGTTACGATTCATGACATGTGCCTGTTTCCAGGAAGGTGGTGATGTAATGTTGACAGGGAGGCGGCTCTCCTAACCGTGTGCTCTACTGGCATAGGGAAGTATCTAGTCAGCTGTAACTTCTTGATGGTATAATCTTGGTTGTGCATTTTAGGAAATAGAGTTAGTTGTGTCCATCAGAAAAGTTGGTTATGATAGTGAAATATGTGTGCATCATCCAACATGCCAGGAAGTATGCTAAATGTTTGATATTACTTTTAGCTTCTTCCAAATCCTGGGGTAAATTTCAGTGTGTGACATTAACTCATATGTGTGTGTTCATGTATGCACAAACACCTTGAACCTTTGTACAATATTTGCTCAGAATGAAATCCCTCCTACATCATCCTTTATTCTTTTTTTCTTTCAAATATCAAATCTAAGCCTTTTTATTATTTAAATTCAAGTTAGTTAACTCCTGGCTCTAGGAATAGAACCCAGTGATTCATCGCTTACATATAACACCCAGTGCTCATCCCAAAAAGTGCCCTCCTTAATGCCCATCACCCACTTAGCCCATCCCCCACTCACCTCCCCACCAGCAATCCTCAATTTATTTTCTGTATTTAAGAGTCTCTTATGGTTTGCCCCTCTCTCTGCTTTTGTCTTTTTTTTTTAAATATTTTTATTTATTTCTAGGAGAGAGAGAGACAGCATGAGCAGGGGAGGGCCAGAGAGAGAGGGAGATACAGACTCTGAAATAGGCTCCAGGCTCTGAGCTGGCAGTCAGCACAGAGCCCGACGCGGGGCTCGAACCCACGAACAGAGAGATCATGACCTAAGCAAAAGACGGACGCTTAACAGACTAAGCCACCCAGGCGCCCCTCTCTGCTTTTGTCTTATTTTCCCTTCCCTTCCCCTATGTTCATCTGTTGGGTTTCTCAAATTCCACATGAGTGAAAACATGATATCTGTCTTTCTCTGACTTAGTTTACTTAGCATAATACTCTCCAGTTCCATCCACGCTGTTGCAAATGGCAAGATTCATTCTTTTTCATCGCCAAGTAATATTCTGTTATATATATACCACATTTTCTTTATCCATTTATCAGTCAATGGACATTTGTGCTCTTTCTATACTTTGGTTATTGTTGATAGTGCTGCTATAAACATTGGGATGCATGTGTCCCTTTGAATTGTCATTTTTGTATCATTTGGATAAATACCTAATAGTGCAATTGCTAGGTCATAGGGTAATTCTATTTTTAATTTTTTGAGAAACCTTCATACTGTGTTCCAGAGTGGCTGCACCAGTTTGCATTTCCACCGGCAGTGCAAAAGGGTTCCCCTTTCTCTGCGTCCTCACCAACATCTGTTGTTTCCTGAGTTATTAATTTTAGCCACTCTGACACCTGTGAGGTGTTATCTCATTATGGTTTTGATTTGTATTTCCTTAATGATGAACGATATTGAGCATCTTTTCACGTGTCTGTTAGCCATCTGAATGTCGTCTTTGGAAAAGTGTCTGTTCATGTCTTCTGCCTATTTCTTCACTGGAATATTTGTGGGTTTTTTTTTTTTTTGGTGTTGAGTCTGGTAAGTTCCTTACAGATTTTGGACACTAACCCTTTATCGGATATATCATTTGAGAATATCTTCTCCCATTTTGTTGATTGTTTCCTTTGCTTTGCAGAAGCTTTCTATCTTGATGAGGTCCCAATAGTTCATTTTTGCTTTAATTTCCCTTACCTCCAGAGACATGTCAAATCAAAGCCTTTTTAAAATCTTGCTATCTGGGGTGCCTGAGTGTCTCAGTCATTAAGCATCTGACTCTTGATTTCGGCTCAGGTCATGATCTTGCAGTTCAGGAGATCCACCCCCAGATTGGGCTCTGTGCTGGCAGTATGGAGCCTGCTTGGAATCCTCTCTCTCCACCCCAACCCCACTCTCTCTCTCTCAAAATAAATAAACATTGATTATCCTGCTACCCTCTTTCAGATATTTAGAATCTGTTCTCATACCCCCCACGCATACTGATAGCATCGGGGTTGTCATCTAGTCTTCAACCCAGTCTGCATTCTGCCTTCTCGGTCTCCCTAGTTTTTCAGCCGAGTGCTAAGAATAACTTGTAATGTGTAACTCCCATCATGCTTCTGCTCAAAAGCCCTGATGGTTCCCCATCTCCTTCCCAAGTAAAATCCAAAGTTTACAATGGCCTAAGGGCCTGTGAGATGGCTCCCTCTTATCCGTGGCCTCACTCTTAGAACCCTCCCTGATTTCACTCTCTTGATTTGTTATTGATTCTGGCTTCCTCAATATTGTTTTACATGATAATTATACATGACCTCAGGGCCATGGTTCTTTCTCTTCAACCATTGTAGTGAGTGCCCCCCAGCTTCTCCCTTTATCCTGTGCCCTTCATAACCCTTAGTGGATATGGCACACTACATACATCTATTTCCTATTAGTACAGGAGCTCAGAGGGAAGAGATTTCTGTTGTTCCTTGTTGGACCCCCAACACCCAAAAGTGTGCCTGGCATGTAGGATGGTTTCTGTAAACACTGGTTGAATGAATTAACTAATTTTTGTGTCTCTCCTATAGGTTGTGGGGATGTGCCATCACCCCCTTCAGCTGTGAGATTCTCGCGTCTGCCCTCAGCAGCAACCAGAGCCTGATCACTCTGGACCTGGGCCAGAATTCTTTGGGGTATAGTGGAGTAAAGATGCTCTGCGATACCTTGAAACTTCAGCGTTTCTCCCACCGGACACTCAGGTATGATCCTTCTATTCCTCACGGTGTTTGCTCCAGGATAGTAGGTGTGCAGGAGAATATGCAAACCATAGGGAAGTGTGGCTTAGACATCTACTGCTAACATCCATCTTTTATCCATTGATGTTTGGTCACCAGATAATTCTCCATTGGCCCCTTCTGTTGCTTTGGCCAGTAAGATGAGTCAAAGGGTGAAGCCCAAACTCAGTCTGAAACCAGAAGCTAATTGTAGGGGGCTCCTCTAAGCGAGAGAGAGTCATGGTGGCCAGCCATTATTGTGTGAGGAAGATCAGACTCTCGTGTGGTTTCTTGAAAAGTTTGTGTTGGTTACAGAGGTCTGGCAGTGAGTCCGCCTTAGAAGCACATTCCCTGAAGTGAGTTCACCATTGAATGAGACAAGTCTGTGTCTTCTTTTGGTCATCAAAGCAAGCTGTCATTGAGTTGTGCTGTTTGTTTACTTGCTACCATGGCAACAAAGAACCCTACAACTCTTTCTTCTTAGGTGTGTGGGAACTTTTTTTTTAAAGTTATTTATTTATTTTTGAGAGAGAGACTGAGTATGAGCAGGGGAAAAGCAGAGAGAGAGAGGGAGACACAGAATCCAAAGCAGGCTCCAGGCTATGAGCTGTCAGCACAGAGCCCCATGTGGGGCTGGAACCCATGAGTCATGAGATCATGACCTGAGTCCAAGTCAGACAGTCAACTAACTGAGCCACTCAAGTGCCCCAGGTGTGTGGAACTTTAAATTCCCAGGTGCGACATAGACAACTGATGACTTCAAATGATAATTATGTAAAAGAAACTAATTAGACATTTGCTTAACATGAATATCAGGTAGCTTGCTAGTCTAAGGAAGCTGCATGTAGAGTCTGAAGTTTGTTTCTGATTTTAGCCCCTTTTTGGTGAGCTAGCTCCCATTTTATATAATATAAGTGAGTTCTAATCAAGGTGTAAAACCCCCACAAAGATATTGAGCTGTTTATTTAGACCATCAAGTCAGATGTTCTCTCCTCAGTCTGTGAATCTCAAGATGAGCGATTTGGATGGGGGCTTCTTGTAGAATCGCAGATCCTAGATAGGCATAGAGACCCTGAGTTCAGAACTTGGTTTTTAGTTCTTTGATTGTATCAGCTATCTCGTTTCCTTCTGAGATGCTCTTTTAAGTTAACTGGAATCATTTTCTTTTGCTTAGAGACAAAGAGGCCCTCTCATCACACCTCAGTCTTAGAGCAATACCTTTATATATTCCAGTGTGGTTCACACCTTGTTTCTGATTCCTTCAACAGTTTTGACCAAACACAGGTTGACTGTGGGAACTTTTTCTGTCCTTAAACTATAGACTATGACCAACCTCCTACATTCACGAATCGACACAATTATATTTGACCTTGGAGGGTCATATTGAAAATATTTTGAAGGTTGTTGGCCTTTACTTTAGCCAAAGTTATTTTTATTGTGATTTTCATATATTAAAACATTCTGAAATTATCACCATCATCAAGCTAACTAACGCTTCCATCACCTCATAGAGTTTTACCGTGTGTGTGTGTGGTGAAATCACCTAATATCTACTATCCTAGCAAATTTCAGGTATATAATACAGTATGATTGTCACCATGCTGTACATTAGCTCTCCAAAACATACAACTGAAGCTTTGTTGTATGATTGTATTGTGAATCTTAAACAGCAAAGCAAAAAATTGGTTAATATGCTAGCAAAACCAAGGGTTCCTTGCGAGCTCAGTCAGAGAGCATGCGACTCTTGAGCTTGGGACATGAGTTCAAGCCCTACATTGGGTATAGAGATTACTTATACACACACACACACACACACACACACACACACAAACTAGCAAAACCAGGTCTACAATGCCAACAAGAAACATGGCAGCTAATATCTTCAGTCACTTACTTTTCTACATGTTTTTGTTTTAATTATTCCCTTTCCCCCACCTCATTCCCCATGTACGTGAATGAATATGGTTACCAAAAGGTGAATCTTACAACTGAGGCTGCAGTTATCACAGGCCAAATAAAGGTGATGATCAGCTAGTATCACGTAGCCAAAGGGGACACAGATCTGGTCTGACTGACTTGGTTCAAGTGTGTATGTCTCGTCCTCAGTCCACCAAATAGAAGTTGCCAAAGTGAGCTGTGAAGTAGGTAGGTGTTAGAACTAAATCACAGACTTCTCCATCAATTCCATCTCCCCAAGAACAATATGAGAATCACCCAAAATTATCCAGGGATCTTAGAACCGTTAAATGTTAACCTGGCATTATCTCTTTTCCCTATCAAATCAATATGGAACCCTACTTTATGGCACAGAATAATCAATAAAGACTTCCTCTGTCCTAAAGCATAACACTTAGAGGCTCTTGGGTATTTGGAGTGAGTCTCCTTGAAACAACAAGAAACCTTCTTTTCACCCCCACTGCACTCCAGGTTGAGGATAGATGAATCTGATCCTCGAATCCAGAAACTGCTGAAAGAAATACAAGAAAGTGACTCACAACTGACCATTGAGAGTGATAAGCAAGATCCAAACAACAGACCTTCTTCATATGACATTTTCTGAATCCCCTGGAGTTATTCATTCTCCAGTAAAGTCTGAGATTGTCAAGGTGACAGGGGAACTTCCTCTGAACCCTCTCAGTGATGTTAGGTACTGGGCCAGATGTTCTTTTAGCCTCAGGAGTGACTTTGGCTTCCATAAAACACACACAAGTGACTTAGCTCTGTTATGGGCGGAATGTCTGTATCTCGAGTCTATCAAGAAAAATAAAGGTGAAAGCATTCATGAAAGAGGTTGTGTTTAATACTGGATTCTGAACAGACTTAGACACAAGATACTTTATTTGGGGAGAACCTAGCCCAGCAGGGAAAGGGGACAGAAATGTTTGTGATCCCATTGGCCCTTTCACTTTGCCAGTCACTTCCTGGCTCTGGCATTTCTTGATGTGCATGGATAGCTGTCTATAGGTCTTCATCACTGAAGTATTTCTCCTACAAATCCTACAATATTTTGTAGCATTCTTCAGTACTTTAATGAAGCACATAATATATCACATCGTTGCTCTTATTAACTTTTTAATAATTTCCCCCTTACTTACAGAAAACATAAGTTCATGGTGTGCAAACTCCTTCCCCGTCTAGTACTTATTTCATTGTGACCTACAGAATCCCAAAATTCCTTAAAGCACTAATTGTTAAGAATTGCTTTTTTATTAAGCACTAATTTATAAATTATTCTTCCAGTCATCCTACTTTTTTGTTTCTTCCCTGGGTTCCATCAGTTCATCGTTCTCACCAAATATACCACGTTCCCAGATGTCCCTTTCACACCACCCTTGAATGTGCTTGTATGTCATCTCCATGATGTCACTGCGTACTGTGTGGGATCCTGGATTTTCCCACATGTTTCCTTTGGTTTCTGTCTCCAGGCCTCTTATTCAGCTGGATATAGATTTTTCCTAGAGCATCTTCATTCTCAGGGTCTGAGGGTTGGTGAATTCCATTAGTAGGAGGGGGTGGGGTTGTTAAAAGAAGAAATGGAGAGACCCCTGCATGATTCAGTCAGTTAAGTGTCTGACTTCGGCTCAGGTCATGATCTCATGGTTCATGAGTTCAAGCCCCAAGTTAGGCTCTGTGCCTTCAGCTTGGAGCCAAGAGCCTGCTTTGGATTCTGTCTCTCTCTCTCTCTCTCTGCCCTTCCCCTGCTTGCACCCTGTCTCTCTCAAAAATGAACATCTTTTATAAAACACTTTTTAAAAAAGAAAAAATAGATGCACGCCGTTTTTTAAAAGCTAAGAACGATTCTCAGCCAAGGTTTTCTCAATATCTACACTATTGACACTTGGAGTCAGATAATCCTTTGTTATCTTAAGTGTATCTCTCACCAAGAGTATATTCTGTTGAGAGAGAGAGAGAGAGAGAGAGAGAGAATGAGAGAGAAGCATCTCAACCCTCTACCCACTGACTACCAGCATTTCTCTTCCCCCCAAAAATATCTCCAAATGCCATGCAAAATGCCCTGAGGTTGATATCCACTGTAATCTAGCCAACTGCCCTTTAAGGGAAAAGAAACTGAGTAGCCTATGTACTACATTTGCCTGTGTACTACGTTGGCATTTGAGACCAAAGAGAAGGGCATCTCAGGGTGGGGTGGGGTGGTGGGGCAAGACCTGAGTACTCACACATGCGACCAAATGTTTCTGGTTTGGAGAGAAGCTAGGCTGATAGGCTCGGGAAATGAGTACTAGTCTGAATTAACCAGCTAAGCTATAGGTTAGATTCGTGGTTATGCAGAGAAAGCACAGTGGCCAACGAGGATGTGTGGGACGGTTTTATGCAGAGGATAGGACTCAGCTGTGAGTGTAGGGGGTATGGGAGGTCAATCAGGAACATGTATTAGAAAACGCTGAAGGAAAAGGTCAGTGTGATGGTCCAATTAGAACCACAGTGTGCAAGACAGACGCAAGGAGATGGTGGCATCCCCTAGATACCTTTAATCCCAAGTGCAGGGAGTCCTCAGAAAGCCAAATAGATACTGGCTCAATAGCTCCTTGATGGGACACTAAGGAGAGGTCCTTTAGCCCTCCTTCTCCACAGCCATAGCCCCTGCCTTCCTGCTCTTACATTTCACACACTCCATATATGGTCTTCATAATCCCTATCAGATACAACCAAGCCTTAGGGTTCTAATTGTGGCACCCATGGTTATGGCCATCTGGTCGACCCTTATCCGGCCGACTGCGTGGTTTCTGGGTTTGCGGAAGGGGTGGGAGTGGCCTGTGGACAGCTCTGACCAAGTGCCGCAGGGGTTTCTTTCGGCTGTGCCAGTCTTCTGCCAGAAACCCCACTAGGAGTATTAGGATCACAGCCCCGAGGCATAACCGGACCAGATTGCCCTTGATGTAGTGCTGCTGGGGAAGACCTGAAGGAATGAAGAGAAATTGGAGCAGGTGATAAAATCCCATCTTCAGGACCCACTTCAAGGGACTCCTTGAGCTTCTCATAGCCATAACCCTCATCTGAGATCCTATTATTCTCTGCTACCTAGAATGTCAATTTCCTTCCTAGAGGGTCCCTCACCAAAGGTCAGGGCTAGATACTAGTTCTCTAAATATGACTTCTTCCCGTACTCTCCCTCCCCCCACACAGACACTACCTGTTTTTTTTGGCTAATTGCAGGAGGAAAGATTATCACAAGGGGTAGAGAAGGAGATGGAATTTCATCTTTCTCTGATCCTTTAGACAATCTCAACCTTCCCACCTGATGTTATTGTTCAATTCTGAGTTCCAAGAGCTGATATTTACCCTTAATACTTTACACACTAGGATCCAAGATCATAGAGTTGTAGCTTTTGTACAGGGAAAGCAGTCAGCTTTAGGGGAAGACACAGGAAATGGGAATGGAGAGGGCCCAGGGAAGACCACTTACTCACCGGTTGGAGAGTCTGATTCCTTTGGAAAGACGGTGATATGCCTAGAAGGTTCTGAGAATCAAAAGGGGGAAATATAAAGGGACGAGACTATGTTCTCTAGCCCTGTTCCTGAACCCTACCCTGAAAACATGCATTTGGAAGGCAAAACTCATGGCTATAAGAAGAGCATGAACTGCAGAGTCAGGCTGTCCAGATTTGAACCCCAGATCCATCACGAATTAGATGTGAGGCTTCTCCCAAGTGACTTAACATCTTTAGTCAGTTTTCCCATCTGCCCAATGAAAATAATTATAATGCATCACAGGTTAATGTGAAAATTAAACCAATAACAATAACAGCATGAGGCACAGTCCTTGACATATAATAAGCACCCCCCCCATACATGCTAGCTCTTCTTCTCTCATTCCACAAGTTCCCCCAGACTTTCCACGTGTTCAGCCATACTCATCACACAGGTGCATGTTTTAATATACTGTGAAAATTGCTATAATAGGTAGTCCATAGGACAGAGGAAACTGTACAACCCAGTGTCAGAAAAAGTTTCCTAAGGGACTGAAGCCATGAGTAAATGGAAGAAAGGCAGAGCAGTGGCTTGGATGCAGAGTCAGGAGGAGATGCCAGGTATCCAGAAGAGCTTCATCTGACTCTGAGTGGCTGAGATTTGCATGAGGAATGAAGACAAGACTGAAAGAATCCCCAGTGGCTGATCTAATGGCATTGGATCTAAAAAGCATTGAACATCAAGCTGAAAAGCCCAAGCCATATCCTAAGGGTGATTGGAAATCCAGAAGGATTTTTTTTTTAATTTTTAATTAAATTCTAGTTTTTTAACATACAGTGCAATATTGGTTTGAGGAGTAGAATTTAGTTATTTATTGCATACATATAACACCCACTGCTCATCATAACAAGGGTCCTTAATGCCCATTGTCCATTTTAGCCCATCCCTCCTCCCTCCATCAACCCTCAGTTCTCTATCATTAACAGTCTCTTATGGTTTGTTTCCCTCTCTCTTTTTTTCACTTCCCATATGTTCATCTGTTTTGTTTGTTAAATTCTACATATGAGTAAAATCACATATCTGTCTTCCTCTGACTTATTTCCCTTAGTATAATATACTGTAACTCCATCCACATCATTGCAGATGGCAAGATGTCATTCTTTTTTATCGCTGAGTACTATCATTATGTGTATGTATGTGTGTGTGTATCTGTATACATACCACATCTTTATCCATTCATCAGTTGATGGACATTTGAGCTCTTTCCATATTTGGTTGGTCGATAGTGCTGCTATAAACATTGAGGTGCATGTGCCCCTTTGAATCAGCACTTCTACATCCTTTGGATAAATACCTAGTAGTACAATTGCTAGATCATAGGGTAATTCTGTTTTTAACTTTTGGAGGAACCACCATACTGTTTTTCCAGAGTGGCTGCACCAGTTTGCATTCCCACCAACAATGTAGGAGAGTTCCCCTTTCCCTGCATCCTTGCTAATATCTTTTGTTTTCTGAGTTGTTAATTTTAGCCATTCTGACAGGTGTGAGATGGTATCTCAATGTGGTTTTGATTTGTATTTCCTTGATGATGAGTGATATTGAGCATATTTTCATGAGTCTGTTAGCCATCTGAATGTCTTCTTTGGAAAAGTGTTCATGCCTTCTGCTCATTTCTTCACTGGATTATTTGTGTTTTGGGTGCTGAGTTTGATAAGTTCTTTTTTAAAATTTTTAATGTTTTTTTTTTATTTATTTCTCAGAGAAAAACAGACAGCATGAGCAGGAGAGGGTCATAGAGAGAGGGAGATACAGAATCCAAAGATAGGCTCCAGGCTCTGAGCTAGCTGTCAGCACAGAGCCCGATGTGGGGCTCGAACCCACAAACCATGAGATCATGAGCTGAGCCGAAGTCGGACGCTTAACCGACTGAGCCACCCAGGCGTCCCGATAAGTTCTTTATAAATTGTGGATACTAATCTTTTTTTCTGCTATTTCATTATTGCTGTATAGGAACACAACAGATTTCTGCACACTGATTTTATATCCTGCGACTTTGCGAATTCATGTATTCTAGCAATTTTTTGATGGAGTCTTTTGAGTTTTCTATGTAGAGTATCATGTCATCTGAAAATAGTGAAAATTTGACTTCTTCCTTGCTGTATTGAATGCCTTTTATTTCTTTTTGTTGTCTGATTGCTGAGGCTAACATTTTCAGTACTGTGTAAAATAGTACTGGTGAGACTGGACATCCCTGTCTTGTCCCTGACCACAGAGGAAAAGCTCTTAGTTTTTCTTCATTGAGGATATTAGCTGTGGGTCTTTCATACATGGCTTTTATGATGTTGAGGTATGTTCCATCTCTCTCTACTTTGTTGAAGGTTTTCAGAATGGGTGCTGTATTTTGTCAAATGCTTTTTCTGCATCTATTAAGAGGATCGTGTGGCTCTTATCCTTTCTTTCATTAATGTGGTGTATCACGTTGATTGATTTGTGAATATTGAACCACACCTGCATCCCAGAAATAAATCCCACTTGAACATAGTGAGTAATTCTTTTGATGTACTGTTGGATTCAATTTGCTAGCATCTTGTTAAGAATTTTTGTTCATTAGGGATTTTGGCCTGTAATTTTCCTTTTATAGTGGGCTCTTTGTCTGGTTTCAGAATTAAAGTAATGCTAGGCACCTGGGTGGCTGAGTCAGCACTAGAGCATCCGACTTCAGCTCAGGTCATGATCTCACAGTTTGTGGGTTCAGAGCCCCATGTCGGGCTCTGTGCTGACAGCTCAGAGCCTGGAGCCTACTTCAAATTCTGTGTTTCCCTCTGCCCCTCAGCCACTCATGCTCACACTTGCTCTCTCTCTCTTTCTCTTTCTCTCTCTCAAAAATAAAAATTTTAATTTTGCTTAGGGGATAAGCAAAATAAAAGAAGGATTAATGTAAAAAAGAGAGAGCCAAGCCATAAGACAGACTCTTGAGAACAAACTGCGGGTTGCTGAAGGGGAGGTTAGTGGGGAATTGGTTAAATGACTGATGGGCATTAAGAGGGGCATTTTTTGTGATGAACTCTGGGTGTTTTATGTAAGTGATGAAACACTAAATCCTGCTCCTGAAACTAATATTACACTGTATGATAACTAACTGAAATTTAAATAAAAACTTGAAACTACCAAAAAAATAAAATAAAATAAAATAAAAATTTTTTAAAGAAAGGTAATGCTGGCCTTGTAGAAGGAGTTTGGAAGTTTTCCTTCCTTCTTTCTTTTCTTCTGCCTTCCTGCCTTCCTGCCTCTCTCTCTCCCTCTCCCTCTCCCTCCCTCCCTTTCTTTCTTTCTTTCTTTCTTTCTTTCTTTCTTTCTTTCTTTCTTTCTTTCTTTCTTTCAATAGTTTGAGAAGAATGGGTAAAAACTCTTCTTTAAATATCTGGTAGAATTTCCCTGGGAAGCCATCTGGCTGCGGACTTTTGTTTATTGGGAAATTTTTGATTACTGATTCAATTTCTTTTCTGATTATGGGTCTGTTCAGATTTTCTATTTCTTTCTGTTTCACTTCTGGTAGTTTGTATGTTTCTAGGAATTTGTCCATTTTTCCCCAGATTGCCCAGTTTGTTGGCATATACTTTTTCATAATATTCTCTTATAATTGTATCTCTGTGGTGTTGGTTGTGATCTCTCCTTTTTCATTCATGATTTTATTTATTTGGGTCCTTTCTCTTTTTGATAAGTCTGTCCAAGAGTTTATCAATTTTATTCTTTCAAAGAAAAAGGACTTAGGGACGACTGAGTGGCTTAGTCGGTTAAGCGTCCGGCTTTCGCTTAGGTCATGATCTCGTGGTTCATGGGTTCGAGCCCTGCGTCGGGCTCTGTGCTGACTGCCAGCTCAGAGCCTGGAGCCTATTTCAGAGTCTGTATCTCCCTCTCTCTCTGACCCTCCCCTGCTCGAGCTGTCTCTCTCTCTCTCTCCTAGAAATAAAAATAAATAAATAAAAATATTCAAAGAATAAGGTCTTAGTTTCATTGATCTGTTTTTCTATATTATTTATTTCTGCTCTAATCTTTATTATTTCCCTTCTTCTGCTGGCTTTAGGCTTTATTTGCTGTTTCTTTTCTAGCTCTTTTAGGTGTAAGGTTAGGTTGTGTATTTAAGACTTTTCTTGCTTCTTGAGAAAGACCTCTATTGCAATCTATTTGCTTCTCCTTTGCTGCATCCCAAAGGTTTTGGGCTATTGTGTTTTCAGTTTCACTTGCTTCTATGTACTTTTTTATTTCCCCCTTAATTTTCTGCTTAGATGATCTGTCCATTGCTGTAAGTGGGGTGTTGAAGTCCTCTCCTATTATTGTATTATTACCAATTATTTCTTTATGTTTATTGTTAATCAATTTGTATATTTAGGTGTTTCAAGTTGGGGGCATAAATATTTACAATTGCTAGATATTCTTGTGGGATAGACCCTCTCAATTATGATGTAATGCCTTTCTTCATCTCTTACTAGAGACTTTGGTTTAAAATCTAGTTTGTTGAATATAAGTATAGCTACTCTGGCTTTCTTTTGATGGCCATTAGCAGGATAGGTGGTTTTCCATCCCCATCACTTTCAATCTGCAGGTGTCTTTAAGTCTAAAATGAGTCTCTTGTAAGCAGCATATAGATGGGTCTTGTTTTCTTATCCATTCTGATACCCTATGTCCTTTGATTGGAGCTTTTAGTCCATTGACATTTTTTTTAAAAATTTTTTTTAATGTTTTATTTATTTCTAGGAGAGAGAGAGAGAGAGACAACGTGAGCAGGGGAGGGTCAGAGAGAGAGGGAGTTACAGACTGAAACAGGCTCCAGGCTCTGAGCTGGCAGTCAGCACAGAGCCCGACGCGGGGCTCGAACCCACGAACCGCGAGATCATGACCTAAGCGAAAGTCGGACGCTTAACCGACTAAGCCACCCAGGCGCCCCTATTGACATTTAGAGTGAGTACTGAAAGATGTGAATTTAGCACCATTGTGTTTTCTGTGGATTTCATGTTTGTGGTGATGTTTTCTGGCCCTTTGTAGTCTCTGTTACTTTTGGGGTCCCCCCACTCAGAGTCACCTTTAATTTTCTTTCAGGACTGGCTTACTGGTCACAAACTCCTTTACTTTTTCTTTGTCTGGGAAACACTTTATCTCTCCTTCTATTCTGAATGACATCCTTGCTGGTTAGAGTATTCTTGGCTGCATATTTTTCATGTACATTCAGCACATTGAATAATACTGCCACTCCTTTCTGGCATGCCAAGTTTCTGTGAACAGATCTGCAAATCTGATCTGACTTCCTTTGTAGGGTAGGGACTTTTTTCCCCCTCACTGCTTTCATGATTCTTTCCTTTTCTGTATATTTTGTGAATTTGGTGTCTTGGTGATGGCCAGCTTTTGTTGCATTTAATAGGAGTTCTCTGTGCCTCTTAGATTTTGATGCCTGTGTCCCTCCCTAGAGTAGGAAAGTTTTAACTATAATTTCCTCAAATAAACCTTCTGCCCATTTTTCCTTCTCTTCATCTTCAGGAACCCAGAAGGATTTTGGAAAGAGGGTGGTGAATAATCTCACCAGAGTCTTAGAAAGAACTTGCTGGCCTCAGGAGTCTAACAGAGAGCTAGAGTTGGGTGGACCCAGCAGGGATATCTGACCTGTCGTCAGGGGATCTGCCAAGGTTTTCTGTCTTGAGGGAAATGGAGACGTTTCCCAGGAAAAGCAAGGGGAAAGAGAACTACAGCATGAGGGAAGCATGTGGCACAGGACTGCAGTAGTAGTAAGAGTAGTAAGAGGATGCACTGAACAATAGGAAACAAGATCACACACTTGGATCACAGCAAAGTCGGGAGAGCAATGCGTAGGAATGAGTGATGGTCTTCCCATCATAGCCTTGGCTCCGTCTTCTTTTAAACAGCCACATTATCTAGAATGCTCCTCTGTCCCCAAGCTCAAAGCCCACCTCTATCCCATCCTTGATCCTCAAACCAAGGATTTTCCTTGGAAAAGTTAGGTGGTTTTCTGAAGCAGACTAAAAGCCTACAGCCCTAGATGATGAGAGAGAAACCAATTTTCATACTCTTTTCCTCTGGGCTCTGAGTGTCTGGTTACTCACCAGTTGTGGAGCCTTTGTTGATAAGTGAGATGTTCAGTTTCCTGGAGGCTTCTGGGAATTCTAAGGAAGAGGGTAAAAAGAAAGTGGATCATGTCAGGTCTTCCCAGTGAGTCCCTACACTCTATACCCCGTCTGAGATATTGGGCTTCACACACTCTGTACAGACACTGAGGAAAAACAAACGCAGAAGGCTGTAAGACAAGTTGTCTTCTATCAGTGGCTAAATAAGAAATAGATCCAGTCATCCATTGATTGATACTACATTATTTCCTCTTTTTGGCTATTATGAGTAATGTCCCTGTGAACATTTATGTACAAACTTTTGTGTGTGAACATACATCCTTCATTTTCAAATTTTGGGGAGTTATATACCGACAAGTGGATTAGCTGGGTCCTATGGTAATTCTGTGATATGGCTGTGATGATTCTTCCTGTGGAACTGCTGAACCACTTTCCACAGCAGCTTTGGCATTTTTTTATTCCCACCAGCAATGTCTGAGAGTTTCAATTTCTCCACATACTCACCAGCACTTGTTGTTAAGCATTATTATTTTATTATTTTTATTTTTATTATTATTATTGATTACCATTCTGGTGGGTATGATGAATTTCATGGTATGTGGCTTATAACTCAAATAAAAACCTAAGAAGTGGATCCATAGGTCTGTGAAAGCTCAGTGGCTGATACCAGCCTCTAAGCATAAGAGACTCCCCTCCCCCACTAAGGTCATTCTCTTAACCAGGGAATCCCTGATTACATGGGCACCAAAATATTTCCTAAAACCCCTCAACCTATAAATATGTAGCTCCTATTGAGGGTGGGTGGGGAAAATCTCTTAAGTCCTTTTTTTATGGTGGAATCAGCTCATCAAAGCCCAGCTTATGCTCACCTATCTGTGGTATAAAAAGAGCTTGGATATTATTGGTTCTTTGTTATTTCTCTTCCTGTGAGTTCATTAATAAATTTTTGTTTGAATTTAGATTAAACATGAGGTGGTACATATATATCATGGAATACTACTCAGCTATAAAAAGGAACACACTATTGATGCTCATAATAACTTGAATGGACCTCAAGGGCATTGTGCTGAGTGAGAAAAGCAGTCTCAAAACGTTCCATGATATGTGAACCTTTCCATTTATTCATAACATTCTCAAAATGACATTAAGTAGAAGAACAAACCAGTACTTGCCAGAAGTATGAGAGGAGAGGGTGCACATAACTACGAAGGTGCAGCCTGAGGGATATTTTTGCAGGACAGACTAGTTCTCTATCTTGAGTAAAGTGGTGGTTACACGGATCTACACATGTGATCAGTTGCCATAGAACTAAATGTAAATATTGTGTCAATGTCGGGTTCCTGGGTTTATTATGTTGTACTATAATCATGCAAGATGTAACCACTGGGGGAAATGCAGGCAAACGCTACATGGAATCTATCTGTATCGTCTTTGGAACTTCTTGTGGACCTACATCTCAAAATTGAAAGTTTTAAAATTCCAGTGAGAAATACACACACATGCGCATGTACACACACACACGCGCGCGCATGTACACACACACACACACACACACACACACACACAGTGTGCCTCATTTGGCATGACAGTCCCCATATGGCTCTCAACCACACACATCAGCACTTTCTTCCCCAACTTGGCTCTTTTCAACACACTTCTGTTCCTTGGGATTTGGGTCTATCCCCAGCACACAGGGAATGCTAAAGGTGTCACAGCCTGATGTACAGTTTCTTAACGCACAGGCTGGAATCCCACACATGGGAATCCACTGAGATGCCTTTGAAGATAGGGGAGCACTATGGCTCGCACAAACTTTAGTGCAGTGGTTCCCAAAGTGACATCCCCAGATCAGCATCAGTATCACCTGGGATAGTGTTAGAAATGGACATAATTGGACCCCACCCCAGACCTTCTGAATCAGGAACTCATGGGGTCCAGAAACCTAGATCACCTTCAGGCAATACTCAGTCCCCCTAATCTTTGAGAACCACTGGCCAATGGAATCAGAGACTCAAAAATAGAGTCCAGGAGGGGTATTGGGTGGCTCAGTTGGTTAAGCATCCAACTTGGGCTCAGGTCATGATCTCACAGTTGATGAGTTTGAGCCCCGTGTCGGGATTTGTGCTGACAGCTTAGAGCCTGGAGCCTGCTTAAGATTCTGTGTCTCCCTCTCTCCCTGCTCCTACCCCATTCTCTCTCTCCTCTAAAAACATAAACATTTATATATATATATATATATATATATATAATATATAATATATATATAATATAATACATAATATATATATATAATAGAGTCCAGGGATCTACACTTTTATAAGCCACTCAGATTATTCTTCTCCACATTAGACATTGTAAACCATCCCCCTAAGGCTAGATGGAAGTGAGGATGTAGGGCAGCATAGTAATCCTATCTAATATTATTACACATATTATTGTATTCACCTTCTTTATAGGCAAAAATAAGCAATTTTTAAAAATGTTTTATTTATTTCTAGGAGAGAGAGAGAGAGAGAGACAGCGTGAGCAGGGGAGGGCCAGAGAGAGATGGAGTCACAGACTGAAACAGGCTCCAGGCTCTGAGCTGGCAGTCAGCACAGAGCCCGACGCGGGGCTCGAACCCACGAACCGCGAGATCATGACCAAAGCGAAAGTCGGACGCTTAACCGACTAAGCCACCCAGGCGCCCCAAGCAATTTTTAAATATATCAAATATGTGATTTAATTTGAGACAAGTGAATTAAATTAAGAAAGATAGAGGGAAGAAAGAAAAGAAGGGGTCCATGGGTCTATACCTCAGACACCAGGGTGAATCCTCCAGAATTTACCTGTCACAAAGGCAGGTGGTTTTGTGGGTAACCAGCCGGGGGTCACAGAGGTCCCTAGGAAATCAGAAAAAGAGAGCCGTCTGTGCTGTGTCAGCTGTGGGTCCTGAGCAAATAATAAAGCATTTCTGTGACCCAGATTCCTCACTTAGAAAATGAATATGAAGAAGCTCACGTCACTGGACTCTCACGGGTGTTAAATAGCACACCTAGCACATTCTGGGGCTAATTAATAATGACAACCCCTGTAGCTGCCTTCCCTGCTTTTCGAACTTCTGTCCCTTTTCCTGGATTTCTGTGACCTGTACGTTACTTCATCCCTGGAAGCAAAACTGGCTCTTATGTCCTGGAAGAGCAGATAAAGAGGCCGAAGCCGTGGATATATGTGGGGAGGGGGAGCGATCCATGCAGGGAGATGCAAGGATGATGGTTGTATAACAAGACACGCCCCTTTCCACCCACCACCCTGGCTGGGTAGCTACACCAACCGGACAACCTCCTTTTACCCCAGGGCATTTGCTCACACAATCCCGTCTCACTATTTCACCCACCTGGTTACCTCTTCCTCTGCCCTAGGATCCAGATCAAACATTTATTATTCAGAGAAACCTTCCCAAGCTGCCTCCCCTTTAGCTTCTAGCCATGCCATGTACTTCTAATTCATCATGCACATCACAGCCACAACTATACATGTTGTGCTGGACACGTCCTGAAGAGCATTTGATCTAATTACTATATTATGTGTCTATGTGTATATATGTGTGTATGTGTGTGAGAGGGAAAAGATATCATACAGAAAGAGAGCTTCAAGCTGTCCCCAGCAAAGCACAAGCCACGGCCTAGGCACTTTTTTTTAATTTTTTTTTAATGTTTTATTTATTTCTAGGAGAGAGAGAGAGACAGCGTGAGCAGGGGAGGGTCAGAGAGAGAGGGAGTCACAGATTCTGAAACAGGATCCAGGCTCTGAGCTGGCAGTCAGCACAGAGCCCGACACGGGGCTCGAACTCACGAACCACAAGATCATGACCCAAGCGAAAGTCGGACGCTTAACCGACTAAGCCACCCAGGCGCCCCTAGGCACTTTTGAAATATATGCAATTTATGGGGCACCTGGGTGGCTCAGTCGGTTGAACGTCTGACTTCGGCTCAGGTCATCATCTCACGGTTCGTGGGTTCGAGCCCCGCATCGGGCTCTGTGCTGACAGCTTAGAGCCTGGAGCCTGCTTCAGATTCTGTGACTCCCTCTCTCTCTCTGATCCTCCCCTGCTCATGCTGTCTCTCTCTCTCAAAAATAAATAAAATATTAAAAATATATATATGCAATTAAAAAAGCAGTAAATGAACAGGGACCCAAAAAATGAAAACTCTACAGAGGCGGGAGGATTAGTGGCTCCCTCCGGCTGGATGAGGAGTGGGGAGTGCCTGCATGTGCCCATGAGGGATGCTATAGGGTGGCGGAAACATTCTACAAGGGGATTGTGGCAGTGACGACACAACTGTAAATTTATACACCACTGAATTGTACACTTAGAACAGGTGACTGTTTGCTAAGCACCTACTATGTGCCAGGAGCTATTGAAGGTGGTGGGGATACAGCAGAAAAGAAAACAGAAGTTAATGTCTGTCTTTCTGGGGCTCACATTCCAGGATGTGGGGGCAACAGATGATAAACACCATAAATCAGTACGATATGCACGGGTATAGGTGCCACAGAGAAAAATTAAGGCAGAGGAGGTAGCAGAGTGCATCAGAGAGACAAGGATGTGACTTCTGATTGAAGGCCTGAAGGAGACGTGGAATGAGCCATGAGAATATCTGGAGAAAGCGTCCCAGCGAGTGCAAAGTACCTGAGGACCCAATGAGCCTGCATATTCAAGGAAAAGCAAGATAGGATGTAGTCAGTAATATTGTAACCACTTTATAGGGTCACAGACAGTAACTAGACTTGTGGTGGCCATTGTATAATACATACAGTTATAAAATTACTGTGTTGTACACCTGAAATGAATACACTACCGTATGCAAATTATTCTTCAATTAAGAAAAGGGAAAATCAAGATGCCAGTGTATCTAAAGCAGAGTAAATGAGGGAGGAGCAGTACATCAGGCAGTCAGACAGGCAAAGGAGGGGCTTGGAGAGGAGTGAGTGCTGTGGGCTTCAAGCGAAGGTATGAAATCATCTGATTTTGACAAGCTCTTCTAAAATGATTCCTCCTGCTGTGGTTTTGCAAACACTAGAAAGAGGACAAAGGTATAAAGTCTTACAAACCACAACCAGTAGATAAACATAAGTCCTGGAGATTAATGCACAGCATACTGTCAACAGCACTGTATTACAGAAAAGGTGCCAAGAGGCTACTTCTTTAAAGTTCTCAGCACAGGGGCGCCTGGGTGGCTTAGTTGGTTGAGCATCTGACTTTCACTTCGGTCATGATCTCACGGTTCGTGGGTTCGAGCCCCATGTCGGGCTCTGTGCTGACTGCCAGCTCAGAGCCTAGAGCCTGTTTCAGAGTCTGTGACTCCCTCTCTCTCTGACCCTCCCCTGCTCACGCTGTCTTTCTCTCTCTCTCTCCTAGAAATAAATAAAAACATTAAAAAAAATTTTTTTTAAAAGTTCTCAGCACAAAGAAGCAAAGGCAATTGTGTGAGGGGTGGAGGCGTCAGCTGGTGCTACAATGGTAGTCCTGCTGTAGTATATAAATGTATCAAATCAACACGCTCTGCTCTGACATCTTAAACTTACACAGTGTTACATGTCACTTATGTCTCCATTTAAAAAAATTTTTTTTAATTAAAAAAATTAAAGGGGACAAAGGTGGAAGCAGAGAGAGCAGTATACAGTCTGCTGGAGTAAGTCAAGTTCAAGGTTATGGATGGTGGAGCTGTGGAGATGCTGAGAAGATGAGGGACATGTTTCAAAGTGTGTAGGTAGGAAGCAGGGGCACCTGGTGGCTCAGTCGGTTGAGCTTCCGACTTTGGCTCAGGTCATGATCTCACGGTTCATGGGTTTGAGCCCCGCATCGGGCTCTGTGCTGACAGCTCAGAGCCTGGAGCCTGCTTTGGATTTTGTGTCTCCCTCTCTCTCTGCCCCTCCCCCTCTCAAAAATAAATAAACACTAAAAAAAAGATGTGGTAGGAAACATGAGGTGGGACAAGACACCAATACTTACAGGAAAATGCCTCTGAATATTATGGCAAAAAAGCAGAAGTGTCTTTTTAAATATTCATGTTATTTTAAGGGCAGTTACAATCACTTAGCATTAAATGTACCATGTTAAACACTTGAGGGTGCAGTCAGTAGTATTAAGTACATTCACATTGCTGTGCAAGAAGTCTCAGAACTTTCATCTGGCAAACTGAATGTGCCCATTAGACACTAACTCCCCTGTCCCCTCGCCTAGACTTGGCCAACCCTCTTTCTGTTCGCCGCCTCTATGATGTTGGCTACTTTTATTATTTTTATTTATTTATTTATTTATTTA